TGTCAGCAAATACAATTTATCATTGACTCAAATGCTGACTGACGTTTTTCATACCAATTGTTAGTCCATTATTTATACACTGAATTGACGACGGATTTTTTCCGTTATTTCCTGATCATGACAAGGAGCACACGGCGGGTGTGACCGGTCGGCAGGGGATGCTTACTCCTCCATGGCACCTGATCCCACCTCTGATGTTTCGGAGGGTCCGTGTTTGCTCTGCTCTTATTTTGCATTGTTTAATGGACTTTGAGATTGAATACTGTTCGTTATCTCCATATCCTTCATATACAGAAAAACTTGCACTAAAGGAAGTGACGTCGTAGTGAGGCTACACTTTATCAATTTAAAACAATGAAAACAGCGAAAAAATCATTCATTTAGTTTATTTTGGTGCTTTCAAACAAAATAGTAAAATATATGGAGATAATGAATAGTAATAACGCTCAAAAGTCCCTTCAAACAAAACAAATCAAAAGTAGAGCAAATACGAACCTCTAAAACATCAGAGGTGGGATCAGGTGGCATGGTGGTGAGCATCCCCTGCCAACCTGTCACACAACCTGTTCTCCTTGACATAATCGAGAAATAACGGAAAAGTCAGTAGACAAAAATATGATAACGATTTTCAACACTTCATTAAAGCAATTTCTTAAAGAAATTAAATTCCAGGCATTTTGACATTGTTCACACTTCCTTTATATAGAATTCGGAAAATTTCTTGCTTTATCATTGGGCATCTGCATTCTGACTGTTCACACAAGCATTCCAAAGTTGATAATAAAAAGATGGTTGAGTTTTTGATTGATAAACATTGAGTTATCTTGATACATGTGTCAGGGGCCATAAAACTTCGATGAGCTCACTTTTGATCTTAGTTTCAGTCTCCAGAATGATTTTTTGTTTATGTTAGGCTGAAATCAAAAATGAGCCATTCAAAATGTTATGGTCCCAGAGGCAGGTCTTCTCACAATCTGTCGGAATTCCCTATGTAAAAATTGCATCCTGTAATTAGAAGAATAAAACACTTGTGGTCTTCAACACGACATTTAGATATATCGACGAAGTATTATCAATTATCTGTGGTTACACTCACTCATATGTCGACTCAATGTAATCCACTAGAAAAAAGACGTTAATGTTTACCAAATAACAAAACATTGAATGCATTCTTAGCGGTGAAAGAATGTAATTTATTTACTGAACAAAGGTGGTATCTTCGCACATTGTGAATGGATATCAAAATGAAAGTTTTTCACGGTGTTTAATGAATGTCAGAAAATAAGAGCTGCGGTGACGAAAGCGTTTGCTGTAAAGTACTGTATAGTTGATTCTCACGTCTCTGATTCAAATCTTTCTTCTGGACTATTGGATCGGATTCTCGAGTGAAACTGTATTAATCTAGTTCCTGTGCCGCGCTAAATGCGAGCACGAAAACAATCCATTGTTGTCTAAAGACCTTAAGACAAAGTACAGGTCTAAATTTGCAGACTTCTACCTGCAAATGGTTGAAAAATCCTCGAAAGGAAGATAAACTAATAAACAAACGAAATTGATAGTTTTCAAACATTTTCGTATTTAATAATGCGATAGAACTAAAACTGAGCTTTATTTGTAAAAGTGATAACCATAAAATATTGCGATTTGGCGCTGTTACTGTTTGAATACTTAAAGACAAATCAATAACATGTTTTCTATTAAGGGTTATAATTTATTAATGGAAGAGTATCATATAGACCTGAATGCAGTTGATGGAGTTCAGTACTTTTACAAAACAAACCTTCAATTAACAAGTAAGTGGTAATTTTAAAGATTTTTTAAGTAGAAATAGTTCATTGAATGTATTACATTTTAACAAAATCATAAACAGTGTACTTTATATATGCGTGGTTGTATGTATGAATGTATGTATGTAAAGAAATGTTAAAATTTAATTTGGATTATCGCTCACATTGTTTATTCTCTTATGTCAACATAAAAAATACGTCAGTTTTACATAAAGTAGAAATAAAATGATTATCATGTAACAATTGCTTAGAATTGTACCTGAGAAGACATAATCATGTTACGTTGCTTCTGAAAAAAAAATTAACCATACTTCTACCTTACCTCTGGGTTTTTAAAACTATAATTATAAATTGAGGGCATGTCTGTATATTATTCTGATAATTCATAGCATTATTATACCCCCCGCTTGAAAAGTGGGGGTATATAGTAATCATTATTTTATTCCGTCCGTCCGTCCGTCTGTCCGTCCGTCTGTTACGCTTTGGGGTACCCATCTCTTATCCGCAACTCCTCTCATACCACTGAATGAAATTTGATGAAACTTTTACAGAATCTTTATTACATATTGCCATTGTGCACCTCCTATTTTACTTTTTGATCCGACAGATATTTTGGGTTTCCCAGCCACAGGAAAAGACATTTTCACCAGTTATATCTCATCGCTCACAGTACCTCTAGTTTTATTCAAGGTACAACACTGTCTGTGACAACAGAATCTGATTCCTCATCGACTGCGAGGAAAGGACTAGCTGTTGGAAATAGCAACTGAACAGCTAAACATCAGAGGAAACGATGACTCAAATTTAGCTCTTCTTTTTTTTTCTTCATTAGCATGTCCAAAAAGTTAACCTTTCATATTGTTTAAAGATACCGGTACTTTTCCGATAATAACCAAGTTTATGACAGGTTATATTATAAGCATTAGATAATTTGATTCGATTGCAAAATTGTTCTTTAATTGAAATGCAACACGTTATTTCAATGCATTAGAAATAATTTTCTTTTACAATAAATTTTGATAAGATTTAGCTCATTTAAAGACTCAGATTTAACAAACGTCGTCTTCGAGTTTGTGCCGCTTGGACATAACATTGCTTACAAAATCATTACTAATTTAAATCAAAATTTAAACTCTTCAGTTGTGGTTTATTGTATAGATAAAAAAAAAAGATGATGCTAACTCAATATTTGAAAAATGCATTGATGTACCTTAAAAGGTATATTGAATTTATGGCACTAGTACATGAACTTTTGATAACCCCTCGTAGTAGACCAACTTTACTTTTAAAGAAAACATAGTTGTTGCTATTTGTAAGCATTGATTTGAAAGAATAAGGTACTATAAGTAAAGTAAACAACTATTGAACTTTCTGAAGATGTAGAAAGATATCATTTTGTCGACCTATATTGACAAATTTATTAGTGTCCAGTGGTTTTTCGCCGCGTTGTGTTGAAGATCTTAGGATGTACATACACTCATCGTAATAGCATGTCATTTGACGTTTATAGTCAGACTTTGATAACTGCACTTGTTTTAATTAAAAGTCAATTACTTATTATATCTAACAAATTAATGTCAACCTACCATGTTGTTCGTGAAAAAGGACAAAATGCTGCAGCTGATTAATGTCGTTTATATGTTGCTACGATATGGATTAAATAGATATAAACAAGGGAGGTAACTTTCAATATATACCAATTCCGCGAATTCAAGAAACCGCGATCGTGTCAGATGAGAGAAAAACGTGAAAATTACAACCCGTGAAATTAATCCCCTATACAGTATAAGAAATGTCCATCGTATTTATACAACTGAAATACCCCATAATTTGAAAATCGGCATTTATTTTCTGTAAAATACAGCATACTTATAAAATAAAAAATATTACAAAAATTGACCTAAATTGAGGGAAAACTAGAAAATATAATCATTATTCGCTTCCTGTAGCCAAAACATTGATGCCTAATTGGATGGATCCTGACGTCAGTCCTAAGTCTTTTAAAAATATTTTATTGTTTCTCATTATATTTGTTGATTAAGATATTGGCTTTGTCACTTACATGCTGTTCTTCTTAGCGTTATTATTAGTAATAGGGATTACGTAATGAAAATCTAGAAGAATGCGCCTGGGAAATGGCAGATGTATTGGAAATTCCTAGAGAAAACTACATATGTAATCAACAAATTGATATTAAGACATTTTTTTTTAAAGATTCTGATAATCAATTATTTTAAAGTGTTCCTCGCTAAAATTTTTTTATTATCAGTGTTTCTTAACACAGGAATACAGACAACTAAAAGGGAAAAGGTGCTGTATAAAAATATGTGGAAGAAATTTTACGAATTCAGATGTATTTTCCAGAGTAATAAAAACAGCAAACCACTGCACTGTGAAAGTGGAATTACATGTACTATTATGTGTTTTAATGTACCATTAAACAGACTAAAAAAAAACTTACTATCGATATCGATTGCATTCCTACAACTGGTCAGGGTGTCTTAAATTTTATTTTGATTTTTCACCGTTCATTATCGTCACCTTTTTCATTCCTCCTTACAAAGTTTCGGACAGGGTATAACACGACTTTTAGCTTACACCATTTTTCAAGGTCATGGAGTTTGAAAAAGAATGTGAAATTATTAATGCTGTTTGTGTAAACCTTTATAATATTGAGATTAAATAAAATAAAATATGACATTTTACCCATGATCCTTATGTAATTTGAAAAGAGCAATATAAGGTTTAAAAAGTGAAATTCCTTTAGAATGCATAGTTCTATAAATTTGAGCTTTCGGAAAACATTCATTGCCTAAAGTTTGTTCACACCATAACAATATACGAAACAATAATGAGCAGCAAATAGGTAGAGATATTTAATGGAAATATTTCTGAAAATAAATTTTGAATTTAGATCGATTTTCATTTTAAAAGGTTGAATTAAATTACAGAGAAACGTACATACAGCTTGGTACAAGTCTATTGGATCTCTCTGTTGAAATCGTAATTTTTGGGGGTATTGCATTGTGTGACTCTCTATTCTTTTCTATGTAAATCTTCATATAATGTTGAACGCATTTTTAAATAATTTTACAAAATCACATTTTTTCATATTCATCCTGGCAAACACCATTAACTTAACCTTACTAAATGTTAATCTATGAGATTTCAAGCTGATTTACTGATTTATAGGATAAAAAACGTTTTGTTATTTAATATGCTTAAGCATGTCAATGAGAACAGTCACTTCTAGGGTTTGCATAATAGCTTTGATAGTGAAAAATATCCCAAAGACGTAATTCTTTTTGTCTAGGGTCATTCCGCACTTGAAGAGAATCACCAATCACCAAGTATTGTTTCAGTGGATAATAGGTATCCCAATCCCCGCCGGATGATAACCTTATTGAAGACACGTTCTTTGTGCTACAAAAAATTATAATAAATAAAAAATTGATGTGAAATCTTTGAAACCAATTAAAATTTTAGAGGATTAATAATATATTAATGTAATGTGCAATATTTTTACTTTTGTAAGTTCCATTTGCCAACTCATAGTAAGTGAGATTTTGAATAAGTGGCAAGGCATTCTTACCCCATCTTTGCAAAGTTACTCCACAAGTCAATCATTGCCTTGCTGATGTCTGTATCCAGTTGATTCCAGGTTTGGTAAGATGTCCAGATTTGAGGACATGTGATACTGGGGTCTCCGGGACATGACAGTGATGAAAACAAAGGTGTTCCGAACAAGTAGTAGAGTTCCGATGCATGAATGATACCTTAAATCAGAATTAAAACTTTAATCCTCCAAGAATAAAAGAAGGCATTTTAGTTTTTAAGTTTATAGATGTCTTACCCATCCAACTAGGCTCGGGATAATTACTGGACCGGTAATTAAAATCATATAGCCAGGTCTTTGTTCCTTTAAGATTTAGACTGGAGGCTAATTGTATGTGTGGTATGATGTACCCATAGTCAGACTTCAGCTAAATCATTGCAAAAGAAAGAACCATCATTTTGGGACATAAATTAAGTTAAAATATTGACATAAAAATTGAAGAATTTTACAAGGCTGTTTCTATAATAGAAATAATATCTAACTGAATAGTTATAAAATATAGGCATATATTCACTTGCATATAAGTTTGCACGTTTGCAAGGTCATTTTTGTCAGATGGTGAATAGTAACACGTGACTGCAGATTTCACATCATAGCTGTGAAAAAACCGGCTACTCCAATCATCTAAAAGGGAACTGTAATACGTGACGTCATATCCTCCGTCTGAATTGAATGAATCTGGTATTTCATCTGCCGATTCATTCGGAACAAATCCTGTCATTACTTGGATGTTTTGGTTAAAGTCTCCTTTCCTCAGAAGATTTTCTGGGACGTCATGAATAAAATACCCATCCACTCTTGGTGCGAACGCGGCTATCATCTGTGGATGCTTTATGACATGAAAAAGGAGAAAATAGGATTTTCTGACATCTTTTTAATAAAAAAATCAACTATTTTTTTTTAAAGTCAATGGATACAAACCTTAGGGTATGTGTTAACAACATCCTCTGCAGATTTTTGTCTCAAGCAATCAACCATTACTTGTGATGAGTTTACTGGACATTGTAACATCAAGGCCAGATTTCTTGTTGTCACTCGTAGAGAATGTGGCGGTCTGTAGATGGAAAACGGACTGAGAGCACACCCACTCTGTGGAATAACTGCCTGAAATAGACCTATGTGAGGTTTTGATTTATTGTCTGATTGTCGTTTTTAAACTTGATTTAGCTTTGAATCTTATAACATGCATAATAGTAAAGGTATTTGTCTCTTCATTCAGTATAACTCTGTGTATTTTTCAGTTTAACCCTTTGTATTTATCTTTAATGATATAAAATACAAATGTATAGTAGCATGCATGACTTATCATTCATTAATAATAATTTTGTTTCATAAGCCATTATAATCAACTCAACCATTAATGATACAAATTCAGAAAGATGCCAATTTTGTACTTAAGAAGAAACATCCAATAATGATTTTTGGCTACCGATAAACAATATGAATATACCATGCGCATTGATTCATGAAAAACATTTTTTCTTATATTTTATCATATATATTGAAACAGCAAATCTTTCATTAATACTTTCATCAATAATACAAAGTGAAAGTTTTGATGTTTCCTCTAACATACAAACCGATTTAAAACTTAACCCGCATCTTACATGTATCAACACTATTATGCTTCTAGTGCTTACTAATATCGTTTTCATTGTTGCTTTGTAGTATGGAGTGTCTGGTAAAAACATATTTTTTCAAACTGTCAAGGTTTGTTTTGTTTCGTGCATTTTGAACTCTCATGAGACTTGTCTAAAAATGTGTTTTCCTTTAAGCGATATCAGTGAGAATTGGAAGTATTAGTGATGTTGATAATGATCGAGCGAATTAAGCATTTAAGTCCATTTGTAAGTATCTAAAATTGAGTTCAATTGGGGGCGGGGAAGTTTAAACTTTCCCTGATAGCCCCGAAGTTTTCCTTTGCAAGTCAAATAATAAAATCATGGGGAAAACGCTTGGAAAACGTCAGATATTTCTGACTAGCTAGAAAAATGGACGTCTTATCAAGGAAAATCAGCTATTCAATGATCAATTCAAGACAAAAAAGCCTCAATTGTTTATTTTCAAGTTATAGAGCTTGCCATGTTGCGTTTAAGAATAAAAGATTACCATTCAAAAATAGAACCTAAATTCATGAAATATATTTTGTACAGTAATTTTAATAAAATATACTAAATAAAAACAAAAAAATATATATAATAATATATATCATACCGTGTGAGAGAGGAGAAAACATATGAAGTGATACGGCGGCTCCTCCTGCACTTTGACCAAACAGGGTCACTTGATCAGGATTCCCGCCAAAATGACGTATATTCCGGTTCACCCATTTTAGAGCCAACACTTGGTCTAGTAACCCCTGATTACCACTGGTAACCGAATCATCAGTAGATAGGAATCCTCATATAAATATTAATCAGGTTATTTTGGAAATGCGTGAAAAGGCTTAAATATAGGGTATTTTTAAATAAAAATCTGTCTATATTTCTTATGGTCTCAAAAGTTCACATTACATAATCACGTTTCTTCTCCTTTGCAATGAAAAAGATCTGCATTTGTTATTGTGATATTATTTGTTGTAAACTTTGATGAAAACAAGTAACAGCTTTTCAAAAAAGCTTGCCTGACTAATGCAATCAATATCTATAGAACCTATAAGCACGATAATTTATACATGTAAAAGTTTACATTGGGGCAGGGGGGGTGTTAAATTATTTCACTAGAGTAAATTATGAAGATGTTGCACAAAACATCATGTATTCATTTCAAGTCAATTGTATGATACTCATCAGAGCAATGGAAAAAGAACACATTTTATATAAAATGTACACTAGTGTATATAAACTATATATTGTTTTATCACAAATAAAAAATGACAGCATGTTCATGTCCCGCTGTAGATTCGAACCCGCGACGTAAAAATGAAAACCTCACTCCGTGAGTCTAAAAATGGTTTTAGAGGATGAAATAAATAAGGAAAAAAAACTGATGTGATTGATTAATGCTGAAAAGCATGGCTATATGTAAAGGTTACATAAATTAGATTCAACGGCATACAACATAGGCTTCGAGGAAGACAGCTGAAAATATGATAACTACAAGAAATTGGGAATCGTAACGGTATGATTGACATGAAGAATGTGTTTAATAGTTTCTTGGGTATGCCAGAGCATTGTTGGAAACGTGGAATAAAGAAAGTTCTATATGCTTAAATGACCCAACAAACTTGACGGCTATATATGAATGGCAACATGCGTGGATACAGTAAGTTTTTCTCAGGGACGAGGGGTCCACATAAAAAATATTTGTACGAACAAAAAAGTAATAAACTTTCTCAATCCTGAAATGTGAGAGGGCACTTTCATACGTCTATACTGTTTTTGTAGGAGGAAACCCCCTGGAGGGGAGGGGGGGGGGGGTTATGATCAGAAGTATATTTGGCCATTACATCCTCCTGATAAATGTTTGTTCGTTTCGTTTTCATTACTTTAAAGGATGTAACTTCTAACTCACTTCACAATATCACCGATATGTTTTTTTTTCCAAAGCTCGACCAGGATTCCGGCAAAGTACATACTTTATATAATGCGTGCAGTATTCATTTCCATTCAATAGAATAGTCCAGGAAAAGGGAGAAAAAACTTACACGTGACATTTTGGCGCGAAATGATTGTGTCACCCCTTACCTAGAAGACAAATGGACTAATCCAGTAGTATAGAAACGCAGAAAAAAGGTCAAACGGACATGTCTGTATAAGAAATCGCATGGAAAAAAAGCTGCTAGCTAAAACCTAAAGGAAATAAATGCATCACTGTATTGTATCAGCAATATGGTTATTTTTCTGCTATTTGTTGTTGCTGAAACGCATGTAACAAAACCCGATGATAATCAGCAGGCACAAAATTTTGCTGGCTAATTGTGACCTCTTAGCTTCGCACCTAAGAAATATTGATCCTTAGTAGTGCCTGACGCCGTGACCTCAGGCAATAAATTAAAGGTATAACAAGAACACTTTGAGCAATTATCTTGTCCAGACTGTTCATAAGTATAGCATGCTCTTGCATATCGAATCAACTGAGACATATAAACCCCGTATAAAGGTGATGAAGGTATCAAATTGTTTCTAACCTAATGCGCCGAGTCTATAATTGACTGTGACTACAATGACACCTCCCCGGGATGCTAATATCCTTCCATCGTATTCCGAGCCCGATCCATATCGATATGAACCTCCGTGAATCCACACCATAACCGGAAACAACTGGTCCACATTACTGGGGGTCTGTTCCATTCAAAACAAATTTATTATTTGATAACTACACCTCTTGAAAAAAGTAAGAGTAAAAGTTAAACAGTGATACATCTGCACGTCATTATATATTTAAAGATAAATGGACAAAACTCAAGAATCATCATTATATGGATAATATCAAATGAATGAATTTTTTTTTTCAAGTGATGTATCCAGAGAAATTATGTTTTTGTAATTTTATATCTTAAAAATCAATATTAAAATTATACATTAAAGATGGTACCTATATCTTTGACATTTATGTTAAGACAAGTGTACTTGTTTTGCTGCTATTCTTACATAACCTTACACTACCTTTGGCGCATATACATTAAGGTAGAGACAATCCTCATCTATATTGGAGAAGTTCTTCCCGAAACTATATCTGAAAGTGATATATTTTATTATGATAATAAACGTTTCTCATCATCTACTAATCTTCAGTCCTTTTCAAAATCAAATTGTGTGATATATAGTTGTATTCTAAAATCTGTTGACGGTAAAATGTCTTACAAAACAAAATTTCATATAATTTACCCTTTTCCCTAGATCTTTAATATTAGGTATCGAATGCTTATATGTGAATGTAAAAATTGCCATTCATACACTTACTGTTGAAGAAAATGCAAAGGTTGTGGACATGCGGGACCATATTTCGTGGCATTCAGTATCTGTGGTTTCCAGCTTACTTTCTCCTTGGGTGGAGCAAATCGCAGGTCCCCCACTGGAGCCTCAGCAAATGGAATCCCCAAGTAGATGTCCAGTTGTCCACCAGAGGGCAAGGTAGTACGGTATCCTTGAATTTGACCACTGTTGGTATTTGTGATTACAAACCTTTCATGGGAATGATGAACGAAAAGCAGAAAAACCAAGAGATATAACATAATTATGTTTTGTCGCGGCCAGCTTAACGAAGAATTGATAAGGGCAAATTTTAGTATCTGTGACCGAAATAAAAACAGGTCATATATACATTCAAGCTACTAGTTAATACATTTTTGATTTACTGTGTTAAAACATTCTCCAAATATCTTGTAATTTACGTTTAGCAGGGGATGCTTACTCCTCCTTGCTACATTGTACCTGATCCCACCTCATACATTTTCGGGGGTTCATGTTTATGCTATGTTTAGAGCATTGTATTGTTGGTATGTTTAATGAGATCGATCGCTGTGCATTATCTTCATCTTTTCACTTCACTTTCAAAGTTTTCTCTAAAGTACTGCGTTTAATAACAAAATTAAAACAGTGTATTTGGGTTTTATGTATTAGACACACCAACTTCTCTTCATTCCATTATTGCCAACAAAAAATTATGAAGAGTTATAACAATAATAAAAATAATATAGAAATAATTGAGTTGTTTATTTTAAGCTTAATGTAATTAAGGCTTCAAAAAGTTCAACTCAAAAACTTCTTAGCGATTGGAATGCAGGATATTGCATTTTAAAATAAGGAACTTTGTCAAAAGCAATATATGGCATTTTCCTCTCGTATTCAAGTCAATTTTTAATGTTGTAATTATTTTAAAAGGGAATTACACAAAGCGGAAATATCTTAATTAGTTTCATATTGCATTTAATATCGTATGATTGAATTGAGGAGAAAATGAAAAAAAATGTAGCCTCCTTTATTATTTCCTTTACAGGCTTCCTTTTTCATTCTCACTTTAACAACCTTTTAAGAAATTCTTTCATTCAAAACTCTGGAAAAAGATTAAATAATTTTTTTTATTTAGTTCTTACACTGTAACAAACAAAAAAATCATCATAACACTTACTTTATAAAGATATAACGACATTCCTCAAAATTTTTTATGTATCTCCTTATAATATAACAAAAATTATTCATATCCTTCATCATGAATTTTTCATCATGGGTTTTCAAAGTGTCTTGAAAATTAAGTACACAACATATTGTTGCATTGGCAATACAAACAATTTCTAAGAGAATACTATACGAGACATCATCTTCTGATATCTTACGCAAATGCCTGGTAAGGTATCTTATTTTTTTTTTTTTAGGAAACTTGTTTCAGTGGAAATACGTCGATGAAACATGTACGTAATATAGAAGAACGTTTCGTTTGACCTTAATACTACATAAGCGAGAGAGTACATACTATTCTGCTCTGTTGAAACAAACTAATTAGATAACCTAGATATAACAAGTCAAAGAATGGATCAACTAAAGCAATGTACAATTTGTCACGTTGCCCAAATATTTTCTTTTTAAACATATCATTTAACAAATCTGTTAATGCGTTTTGAAAGACTTCAATGAATTAGTTAACAACCGAGGTAACTGCAATAATATTTTTCCCCCCCACATTTTGGAGGCGTGTTTGAAATAGATAGTTTTTAATTGATTTTTATCATTTTTTTAATTCTAAAATTGAATTTTTCTTTCATCTTTAGTTCCATAGGACAATATATCATTTAATTTGAAACTGTTCCTGTGGTTCTGAAGAACAGAACGGAAAAGAAAACACATTGCAACAAACTATTCAATATCCTCAAACACATGTTGATCAGAAAAAAAACAGCATTACACATTGACTTTGATATATTTAACAGCAAAAAATATGTTATTTTTAGGAAAATCTATGAAAAAGACTGTAAAAATACATAGCTGAGTGGAATCTAAAGAACATAAACAATGGATAAACTATGGTCTGCAGAACACCCCAAGTTGCTTTGTCTTTGAACATTACACTTTGACCCTCAGAAATAACTTGGCCATCCAGCCCAATGAATGTTGCTGTGAACCAAAAACTGAGATTTGAAATGAACAAATAAATCAAAGTAAAACGTAGAATCCTGGATGGAAAACTGACTATCTCTTGTTCATAACGTGCTGAATCTAAAATGAAAATTGTCTGGAAAAAGGATTGTAGCAGAGATGAAACTTCAGCAACTTGTACTGCTGCGTTTTTAGAACAATAGCATCCACTGGCTGCAATTATTCCGAAGGTATCATCAGCGGCCTGTCCTGTATTGGTCAAAAGCAAGATATACTCAGATGCACCGGGGCGCCAAACGTTTGTTTTGACCTTAGCTGTTCTTCGGAGAAGGTGAAAGCAGACGAAAATCAAAATCAAATTAATCACATTATGTACAGAAACAATAAAATGCCAAATTTGAAACGGAATTCCAGTGTTTCCCTTATACACGGTTGCCATTAGCAGAGTTTGAATGAAAAAGGGCAAGTTTGTGACAGCCCCGCATATAGCTGCGGCTATCAATGTCATACGTTCTCTTTCATGGTTGTGTTCTAATGTATTATTGAGTTCTTCTAGTCCTTGTGATTCAGAGACTCGAAAAGTTGGCCACATTCGAAACACAAATATCGAGGCTAGAAGCAGGTATTCGATTCTAACAGGGATTAAATATGGTTGAATTTTTGACGTGAATTTGTGAATTTTTGACTTTATATAACACGCTGAATCCAAGGAGTTGTTATAAATTAGATCGCTGTTCGTTTCATTCATAAGTGAATGTGTAATTTCATCCGATACAAGTCGACACCATATCGATATATTACAGATTATCATCACAGCTACTGAATAATTCACCATCTTTCTGCTGACAAATATGGAGTTCTGAAGATAGGTTATGAACCCCATCTGCCAAACTACATATACAATTTTACACAGTGATGTCACTATGCTTAAGCTATGGTATATAGGAATTTTGTCAACACTAAGACAGTCAACGTTTATAGCAGCTGTGAGAGAGGTCTGTAGTATCATTCCACAGCCGAACAACCACAGGAACTTTATCTTTAACCTGGTGGCTAGGTCAGAGCTCTCGGAGCGAAGGTCCACCCAGTTCCTCTTGTTTCGAAATATCATTAAGGTAAGGAAGATAACGCAAATCAGACTTGTCAATATTAATCCAACAGTAAGGGACCATAACAAAATCTTCGAAACGTTGTGAGAAACCGATAAAGGTCCAAACACGCCTATGATTACCAAAATTATGGCTAGGAAACAGGCGAAAAGCACAGCAGACGACACATTTCCATCTGTTACCGTCTTATCACCTGATTGTCTAGTGTTCCCAACTGAAAGAGGTTGAATGACTATAGCTTTCAGAACTTCTTTTATGAAAGACATCGTTCCCTGTACCTATAGAAAAAATATCAATTTTAATCATCGTTGCTTAAAAGGTTTTGCAAATTTTGTTCCGTTAACGAAGGAATGAACCTTCAGTCATCCAGTCTCACATGCATATAATAAAGATCATTTATATATTAATTCTGCGGATTGTATTTCCTGTTCTAGCAATGAGCGGACAAAGCCTAGAAAAAATAAAAATCAAAGACCAGGGGGTCAAAAGTCTTTAACAGTAATAACTTCCTTGTACTCTGGCGGTTAAAGGGTTGTGTCTTAATCAATCATTAGATGCATCCAACCATTTATAGGCAGCCGAGGCAGATAGAGAACTTTCAAAATGTACACAATATGTAATCTGTCTGCCATAATGTTTTTCATTAGCTTTATTTCAATACAGCTCCTTTGTATACTTGGTTTTGGTTCAAAGTCGTATATTTTTCAAGTTTTACCTGTCTCACATTGTCATATACATTAAAAAATGTCAGAATCTACATGTCTACTCAATACAGAAGAGTGTTCGCAGCTTTGGGATGTCAGGATCAACATGTGTATTGAATACACGATAGTGTTTACACAGGTGAGATGTCAGGACCTACACATCCACTCTGTACAAACTAGTATTCACAGATTTTATATGACTATAGAGCTACATGTCTACCAGTTACAGAATAGTGTTTACAGAGTTGAGAAGTCGGGATCTAGATATCCGCTAAATACAGACTTTTATAAGTCTACAGAGCTACATGTTTACTAGTTACAGATTTGAGATGTCGGATCTAGATGTCTATTCAATACAGACTAGTGTTTACAGTTTTGAGGAGTTTGGATCTACATGTCTGCTGAATACAGTCTAGTGTTTACAGCTTTGAGATGTATGTATCTACATGTACATGTAAAATCAGTACAGACTAGATTTACAGCTTTGAAATGTATGGATCTACATGTCTGCTGAATAGAGTCTAGTGTTTACAGCTTTGAGATGTATGTATCTACATGTACATGTAAAATCAGCACAGACTAGATTTACAGCTATGAAATGTATGGATCTACATGTCTACTGAATACAGTCTCGTGTTTACAGCTTTGAGCTGTATGGAGCTATATGTCAAAACAGTACAGACTAAAGTTTACAGCTTTGAGATGTATGGATCTTAATATCTACTGAATACAGACACTACTATTTTCAGATTTGAGATAAATGGAGCTAAAAATCAGTACAGCCTAGTGTTTACAGCTTTGAAGACCAAGGGGTCAATGTATACTCAGTACAGCCTAGTGTTTACAAAGTTGGGAGTCCCAAAAAGCCTTATTACTTAGAATTTAAAATATACAAGAAAGCTTATCAAAAGGAATGGAAAGGGAATTTCAAAATATATCCACAAAATCCCCTTTATATTTTTGGATAATACCAAAGGTGAAAGAAAGTACATAGAATTTATGATGTTTCAACAGTCCAAAACAAGTACATGCATAAAACTAAAAATGTTTTGTTGTTCACGCTGATAATGTTATTTATATACAGAAAAGAAACATACCTGAACTTGACTAAGTTTCCTTCATTTCAAAGGAATATATGTCAGTCTATGTCATTGTAAGTCTACAAGCTGTTGTGTTACAAATCAAACAAGGAAACAGTTTATCGGCTCAACAGTGTCAAAATATTATTTAAGGCGGAAGCATTTAAAGATATTTACATCCCCGGTGTTCTAACGATGTTACACGTGTCACATGCAATACAAAATAATTAGTGCTTTTAAGAGGAAGTTGAAAAAAGAGAAGAAATACTAAAAATAATACGGTACGTGTAAATAATTGTACCCAGGAATGACTTCAGGAGGACATATTGTTAAGTTCCACCTTATTTTCGCTTAAAGCTTGGGAAATGTTTATATCTTTTTGGATAATGACCAAATGAAGTTGTGCATGCAACATTCAAAACGATCGCTGTTGCCACTAAAACGGAGATATCAGATTGGGGTGGTGTGACTTATGCTATTGCTTGAAATGTAATTGGTAAGGTTTTGGAAAAAAGGTATCCTAAATTATTTTTTTCAAAAAGCTTGATATTGGATAAATTATGTAAATAATTAAAAAATGATGACCATTCTTGAAGTAAGGCATCGTAATTAACATAAGTTTCTTTTTTTTAAATCGAAATAGCTCATTTCTATACGGTTAATTTCTAATTAAGAGAACGAGATCTCAGCTGTAGAAGAATTCAATTTTTGAAAGTGTTATGTAAAATTCTGGAAAAATCACATTTCATGTTGGAGATACATATAACTTTATTATCTGAAGCTAACGAACGGTGATCAATCTAAAAAAAATCTATAAATAACATAAATCCGTGCAGAAGGCATAAAACATGGGCTCCCGGAAATGCCAGAAACGGGATCAGATGCCTAGGGTGAGAGAGCATCCCTGTTAATCGTCATATCCGCTTTGAACCGTATAATAATTTATCAGGTAGATGGAACATCCCGTTGTCAAGCGACCAAATGAATATTTATGTTTGCTCATTATAACGAACGTACTGTATAGTGGGTATTTTTAGCGGGATGCTAACTTTGGCTTAATTTACTGGTATTGAAAGCCGCAAAAATTTTAATCGCCAAATTTACATCCTTCATTATCACATCTGAATACAAGAAAAATCACTTAAATAACTTTGATTTGTCTGTTGTATAAGCAATATAACCTTTCACCTTGTATTCCATTTACTCAAACTTTTGTGAAACTAGGAATTCAAACGTATAATAAACGTACTGAAACTTATCTTAAAAAATGAATTTCTTCTCTTTTGCAATGTCACGGAACTCGAAGTCCGCCAAAATTATTGGCAGACCTTTGAGCAACTCGCTAAAGAAACCAGCTATACGGTATTATTTACGGAATACAAGCCTTAAACGAGGTTGTGAAATCCATGTAACATCAACTTATTTGTCAGTAGCCTGTCTCAGTTTTCTTTTGTATTGTTTAATGGACTTTTGAGCTTGAATATTGTTCTTTATTTCCATATAATTCATATAAAACTGGTCGTACTCGGAGCATGTTCTTGAAAAAGGTGAAGATAACGGACAGTGATCGATATAAAAACAATACAAATTTATGAAGAGGGTATAACAATAGACTTTGGGTTTTTGGGGACTTTTCAAAGGTTGGATCAGGTGCCTATGATGAGTAAGCATCACTTGTCGGCCAATTATTACTAGGAAAGTGAACGTTTGTCATGCAGTTTAGTGTTAGTTTGTCCTTAATGTCTATTATCAATGAAACATCCAAATATGAACAGATATGGCACTCTATGGTGTAGATTAAGAATGATTTATAACAAAGTGATTTTGTTGATTACCAATCACAAGAAAGGTAAATGTCCTATTTTTATGGAAGAAGTTTCTATGATATCTAAGATCCCAGTTTTCAATTTATTGTGAGTAATTGTTGCATAAATTTAGAAAACGTATTTAAGTTACTGACCCTTGATTTTTTTTTTTACATTTAGAGTGTTTGAGCATCCACGTCTGATGTACACCACAGTATGCTTTCCGTTTGAATTAAGTTTCTCCTTTTACAGCTGTTAATATTTTTATAAGTATCTAGGAAGGATGGGGGCTTAGTAGAGCAATTGCTTGACCCTGCAATGTACGTCTGTAAGGATTTCATGAAGTTTTGAATCAAATATAGGTAGGGTAGAACACACTCGCCGTGACTGACTTTAGTCTTTAAAATATTGAAATGTGATTTTGAAGATTTTCATCTTCAGAAAGTGAACTGCGAGTATACCGGTTTTCGTAAGTAGTATTAAGGTCTTCTAAAAGACAGTTATAATAATGAGCTTTTATATTGTGACAATCTTGACGTCTGGAAGCATAACATATTGTTCATGTAGCATTTTCTTCAGTTTTGGATCACTTCCAATTTCGTAAAAACAGAAAAATAGATGGTTCGCATATTGCCTTTCATATTTCTTATACAATTCTTGAATACATTTCTTAAACATCTTATTCATTCTGACAAAGTCTTCAAGTCTTCCGCTTCCTTTTCATATTTAGCCTGTTACACTCAAAAATTGAACCCAATCATAGCGATTTCAACAATTTATTCCATGCGTGTAACATTGACAAGAATTAACCGAAGACTGAATAAAATTTCACTTACAAAGCATTATATGAAATCTATGACTAATTGGAATATACAGAAAGTTACACAGTTCCCACGGACAGGATGTGAATGAAGCTAAAAGATACATAAATCAAGATAACGTAACCAGCTTTATAATTACATTGAAACAAAAGTCACGAGAGTCCCTAAAACTGGGAGAGTTGTAGCAATTAAAATATCAAATTGTTAGGTGAACTGTCAAATTCATTTACTCACATCTGGTTGATAAACTCAAAATGCTGAGTTAGAAAGAATAAAGGGAAATTATATCTATATAGATAATTAACAGAATTTTTACTCTTAACACCTCCCTCCTTAAGATAAAAATTTAACTTGAATAGTTGAATTTTTTCAAAATATACATTGTACAGAAATATAAAAGTAATGTAAAAGTAATAAGGATTATAAGTCCATTAATACTATTAGATAAAAGTCCATTAATACTATTAGATAAAAGTCCACTATGTCACTGTTACAAGATTGTCACATCTAAACACTTTATCAAAACAGTTCGTTCAGCAGCGCGAGAGACTGTCCGCGTTTTGGTTCTTTGATGCCTTACGATATCGTATTTCAAAGTCATAAATCTGCAGTGAGAGGGCCCAACGCAAAAGTCTTTGATTATTGTTCTTCATTTTGTGTAGCCAACTCAACGGGTTGTGGTCAGTTTCTACGCAAAATTTTCTACCATCAAGATAATACGCGAAGGATCCTATGGCCCAAACGATTGCTAGGAGTTCTTTTTCGATGGTCGAGTAATTTTGTTCTCTCGGTAATAGTTTCCTGCTGAGGTAGGCCACGGGGTGATCGCCGTCCTCCAGATCCTGGCTCAGAACTGCACCAATAGCGAATTGACTCGCATCTGTTTGTAACGTAAAAACTTTTTGGAAGTCGGGCGTAATTAAAACAGGGGCTGATGTTAGCGCTTCTTTTAGGTCTTTGAATGCTTTGGTTGCCTCTGTCGTCCATTTGATTTTATTAGGTTGCATTTTCTTCAACATGTCTGTCAAGGTGACGGAAATTTTGGCATAATTTTGGATATACTGCCTGTAATATCCAGTAAGCCCGAGAAACGATTTCAAATCTCTCTTTGTGATTGGTAGTGGGAATTCTTTCACCGCTGTAACTTTGTTTGGGTCAGGTTGTGTGACTCCGTTGCCCACAATGTGCCCAAGGCATTTTATTTTCTCAGCACCTAATTTGCACTTTGACGGTCGTATCGTCAAATTCACCATCTGTAGTTTTCTAACGACATTCTCGATGTCCTCGAGATGAGTTTTCCAAGAATCGGAAAATATGACAATATCATCAAAATAAGCAACAACATTATCTACGTCGCACAACACGCTGTCCATCAGGCGTATAAAGGTTGCAGGTGATGTTTTCATTCCAAATGGCATAACTAAAAATTCATACAGTCCGTATGGTGTCACAAATGCCGATTTTTCTCGTGAATCCTTTGAAAGGGGGACTTGCCAATAACCTTTCACGAGGTCAAAATGACTAAGATATTTTGCTTTGCCTACTTTTTCCAAGATATCATTAATTCGAGGGACTGGATAAGCGTCGGAGACAGTTATTTCGTTAAGTTTTCTGTAGTCAATACAGATCCTGATAGAGCCATCTGGTTTGTTGACAAGGACAACAGGGGAACTCCAAGGGCTGTTCGATTTTTGGATATGTCCTTGCTCTAGCATTTCATTTAGTGCTTTCTTTACGCATTCTTGTTTTGCTTCTGGAATTCTGTAGGGTCTTAGACTGATCGGAGTTTCGGTTGTTGTACGAATTTGATGTTCCGTCAGGTTACAATGTCCAGGTTTGTCTGTGAATACGGTTTCATATTTGGAACAAAGGTCCCTTAGTTCTTTGCGCTGATTTTGGTTTAAGTTGTCTCCAAACTTCAAATCGTCAATGGTTTCCGTTCTTTCATAAGGAAAAGCTTCTTCTAGTCCATCAGTTTCCTCAGTTCGGTCAGTCACGAGTAAAGCTGCACGTCTGTATTCTCGTAGTAAATTGATGTGATAGACGACCACACCACGACGTCCTCCAACGTTGACTTTATAATTTACATCATTAACACGCTCTGTAACTCGGAATGGCCCTTTCCACTGGGCCACCATCCTAGAGGTGTCAGACGGAAGTAAGACAAGAACTTCGTCTCCAGGATAAAACCTCCTTTCAGTAGCTGACTTGTCATACCAACGTTTAATTAATGTCTTACGTTTTAATAGGTTGTCCTTTACCTGTGATGTGATATCCCTAAGTTTTTGTCGCATTCCCGCAACATGTTCAACGACAGACATCTGGATTCCTTCCTCGCCTGCCATGAATTCTTTGATTATTTGTGTCGGTCCACGGACTGGCCATCCATACAGAAGTTCAAAAGGTGCAAATCCCGTCTCCTCATGAGGGACTTCACGATACGCAAACAAGGCATATGATAATAAAGTATCCCAGTCGGATTCCTCTTGAGTGCATAGTTTCTTCAAAATTGACTTCAACGTACCATTAAAACGCTCTGTTTTCCCATTGGCTTGCGGATGATAAGGTGATGTTGTAATTCCTTTCACTTTCAACAACGCAAATAGGTCTTTCATAAGCTGACTTGTAAAATTGGTTCCTTGATCAGTTAGTATAATTTTTGGTACTCCCACACGACTAAACAATTCCATGAGCGCGTTTGCTACGCTTTCGGCGTCACAACTTTTCAATGCGAATGCCTCTGGATACCTCGTTGCATCATCAACTATTGTAAGAATGAATCTGTTTCCTCTCTTGGATTTTGATAGAGGGCCAACGATATCCATTGAAATTTTGTAAAATGGTTCAGTGATGACTGGTGTGTTGATCATTGGAGCTTTGACATGTGTACGTTTTGCCACTTTTTGACACACATCACACGACGAACAGTACTCACTTACATCGGCGAATAATCCAGGCCAGTAGAAAGAGCGCAGAATGCGTTCCTTTGTTTTTTCGGTGCCTAGGTGTCCTGCGAATGGTTGGTCATGCGCTAGCTCCAAGATTGATTTTCTGAGGCTGGTTGGTAACACAATTTGGTTTCCTTCTCGTAATCCATCCTTAGTTTTCCATTTTCTCTTAAGTATTTCGTTCTCATAGTAAAAAGCAGGTGGGCTATCTTGGGCTGTGTTGTAATCCACTGCTTTGTCACGACAAGCTTTTAGGGTGTTGTCCTCTTTTTGTAGTCGGGCTAGTTTCTCAGCATTCATGGAATTTATTTCATTACTCTGTATCGTATCTGTAGGTTTACTATCATCCGTCAAATCATCAATTGATTTTGGTAGCACTCCTGAGTCCTCCATCTTCTTTTCCATGTTTTTGTCATCATCCAGAGCTTTCAATGCCATAGATCTGGTGACAAAATTAGCACTTTTTCTGCTAATGACATCATTTCCAAGTAGAGCATCTGCTACAAGGGAGGGGACTAGTCCAACTTGAGCATATCCTTTGTAGTATGGAGTGTCAAGTTTCACAACAGCTAACTTGGCTTCAAACGGTTGGCCAATCGCTGTGTAAAGAGTTGTTTTATGTCCGTCTAAAACACTGCTCTGATTAACTAAGTCCTCCCGCACAAGTGTTAATGACGCACCTGTATCCTTAACAAAGGATACTTCCCGATCATTGACAAATCCAGGTAAGTAGATCAATCCATCACAAGAGTGGTCTATAATTCTGGATGCTAGTGAAATTTTAGGGCATTTATTCGCAAAATGTCCTTTTCCGTTGCACTTAAAGCATGTCACATCCTTCCTGTGACTGCTCTGGTTTTGACCATTTCCTGGTCCAGTTGGTTTTCCATTCCCAGTAAATCCCTGAGCGATTGGTTTGGGGGGAATGTAGTCCTCGGCGGCCTCCACGATGCTAGATGATCCCTTGTTTCTTCTCACCCACTGTGCCTGTGATGATGGTAGAGCTTTCAAAAAGAATTCGTCTCGTAGGGTCTCAATCGGATCTTTTTCCTCTATGCACCTCTTTAGATACATATCAATTCTGGACATAAGTCCTCTATATGTTTCGTTTCCTTCTCTTTTCACTGATAACAAGTCAGAAAAGTACTCATGAGGTCTTTTACCGTATCGTTCTATGAGGGCTTTCCTCAAATCGTGATAAGATGTTGATGCTTGCGATGACACATGTCTAGTTTGTCCAGTTAAGAGTGTCCTTAATTGAAGAATTTTTATGTTTTCTGTCCATTCTGCTTGGTCACATACAGCCTCAAATTCGGAGAGAAAGGTCAAAATATCATCTGATTTTGGATTGAACGGTTGTAATTTAATTTTAAATGCAGCCGAATTTGATAAAGGATTTTCTGTAGGTTTCATCTGAAGTTTTTCCCTTTCCAGTGCCAGTTTTTCCATTTCCATTTTAACTTTTTCGCGTTCAAGAGCAATTTTCTCGCGTTCTAATTCAAGTTCTAATGTGTTATCTTTTTTAGTTGTTTTTCTTCTTACCGGTGGTTGTTGAGGCTGTTTAAAGACAGGTACGGCTTCCTGTACATTTTCTTCTTCAATTTCATCCTCAGTGAAGTCAATTAATTTCTGTGTCCGCCTTGATCTATTTACTGCAATTGAGTCTTCAGTATGATGAGCTTCTTCATCGGCCATGGTTCAAGGAATTTGAAATGTTAATCCACAATTTCAAATAAATTCCAGAATTGTTACACCACAATTCGGACAAATCAATAATAAGTTAATCAAATTGTTAATCCCACAATTTGAATTAAAAACACTCAGTTTACTTAAATTGTTACACCACAATTTAGAGTAAAGTCACAATTTATATACCCGATTGTTAATCACAATTCGAAGTATAATCCCACTTTGCTGCCACCAAAATGTTACACTCAAAAATTGAACCCAATCATAGCGATTTCAACAATTTATTCCATGCGTGTAACATTGACAAGAATTAACCGAAGACTGAATAAAATTTCACTTACAAAGCATTATATGAAATCTATGACTAATTGGAATATACAGAAAGTTACACAGTTCCCACGGACAGGATGTGAATGAAGCTAAAAGATACATAAATCAAGATAACGTAACCAGCTTTATAATTACATTGAAACAAAAGTCACGAGAGTCCCTAAAACTGGGAGAGTTGTAGCAATTAAAATATCAAATTGTTAGGTGAACTGTCAAATTCATTTACTCACATCTGGTTGATAAACTCAAAATGCTGAGTTAGAAAGAATAAAGGGAAATTATATCTATATAGATAATTAACAGAATTTTTACTCTTAACATAGCCCAATGTCTCAATTAGCTTCTGAGAGATCTAACCAGTATTCAATAGACATGTATTTTAATTTATTTTATTAGAATAATCACAAAGAAATAGTTTGAATGTTTACAGCTAAGTAGTCTATATCTAGATGAAATACTTAGATTTATTTAAAGTTTCAGTAAGAAGCTGAAAAGCGACTCTTTGTTGTGTACTTTTCCGAGCACCAACATTCATTCGAACACATTATCACTTCTATACTCCAAAAATTAAATGAATGAACATCTTCCAAAATCATGTAACCATGAATTTAAGATATTCATTGTAAACATGATGAAACAGTTTTTAAATTATATGATTTGAAAAGACATTTTGAATAAAGCAAAACTTTATGCATTTATAACTTTCTTTTGAATCATTTTTTCTTATGGCACCATATGACTGATATGAGCAAAGTTATATTAACAAACTATATTGAAAATGAACATATTTTTAGTAGAACATACTTTTCCATATCGAAAGCGATTTATTCGGGTCAGTTTTTTCTACTATTGTAACATTGGGGGACTTTTTCAGTTTGTCACGCCAATCAGCAACCAACATGCCGCGTGTCAAGTTCCCATTTAGTTCCACTGTGGCAAATATGTCCACAGATTTTAGCACAATAGAACTGTCAATTGCAACAGCCATGGCTTGAGCATCGCATGAGCAAAAACCGGGTTCTCGGTCTGCTTTCTGTCTCTTCACACTTGCTTTGGTGATGTCTTGAAGAAAGGTCGATTTCCTCGTATTTAAATCTAAACATTCAACCATCTTTTCCTAAAACATTAAACAATGTTAGACTGTTAAATTAGAATATGTTAATCATTTAGGAAATGCCATTCAGTCTCTCGTACTCGTAATAAATGAAATTGTTATTGAACATAACCATTACCATCAAAGAGAGTCTGAAAGACGAAAAATATGGAGATAACAAAGAGTATTCAAGATCAAAAGTCCATAAAACAATACAACATAGGAGCAGAGCAAACAAGGACCTCCAAAACATCGGAGGTGGGATCAGGTGCAATGGAAGAGTAAGCATCCCCTGCAGACTGGTCACACCCGCCGTGTGCTCCTTGTCATGATCGGGAAATAACGGAAAAACCCGTCGTCAATTCAATGGACTAACAATTGGTGTGAAAAACGTCTGTCAGCATTTGACTCAATGATTAATTGTAATTGCTGACAAGGTCATTGTATCGACCATAGAACTTACGAAATGATGACTTTAAACGAGACAGCTGAAATTCTTGTTTCATCAACTTGTTTGTCAATAATTTACCTTGTTTTCGAAATTGTTCAAGCTCTTGCGTATCGAGTCAACTGATATAATATATATATTCCGTATGCAGGTATTACTGCATAAGTAAGGGAAGTTGACGATAGAAAAGTTAAAGTCATCACGTTTATCATAGAGCTTGGTTGTTAGATTACTATTAACGTCTTTTTCAAGTCATATATCCAAATATGAAACAGACGTGTCAGACTCTGTGGTATCTTTTATCTCAAGTTCACCAGGATATATCGTATCGACATAAAAATGGAAATTACCATTGTTAATTGACAATACGTCGTCGATATATCTAAATATCGAGTTGAATGCCACAGCATTAGTGATTATTATAAATAATAACTTTTATGTGACATGTGCAGTGTTTATTTAGTTTTCACTTATTTTACCCATATCCGTCTTATGGGTATAAACGTCTTGTGGCCTAGTTTTAACCTAACCCAAAATTTTGCCTTTTAGCCAATCATAATTCAGCAATCTGCCATGCTGCATTCATTGAATTTTGATAGAAGCCACACAAATTTGGTGCAGTGAAATTTGTAAGATTTTGCGAAGTTTATTGATGTACCTACGTCCTTCGTCTGCAAGGAACATCTAGTGACATTATATCGATCATATATCTTTGTTTGGCAGAGAACGGTGAGTGTAAACAAACGCTTTTGCACTACCCTAATTGTTAATTTTGGCTCGGCCCGCCCGTGCAGTGCGCGATCCGGTTATAACCGGTTACAAATGGGAGATGGACCACAACATGGACGACGTGAAGCGTCTCAGTGTTTGCATAATAGGACATTCATTTGTGTCTCGGCTCCAGCGTTACATGGACTCAAACTCAAGTCTCATGAATCTAAATTTGGATTCGGACAATTTTAATGTGTGGGTATGTGCCCGAGGAGGATTACGTGTGTCCCAGTTAAAGGATTTTATCAAATTTAAAAACAAACCACATGTGTGTTTTATTCAGATTGGCGAAAATGACATTTTGCGCTATGAGATGGAAAAATTATCAACGGATATCCTTTCAATAGCAAGTTATTTACACGAGGGGATGGATATCCCAGTTGTGATTGTCGGTCAACTGTTGCGTCGTCAGCCTTGGGCGTCCTCCAGCGACTTTAATGCGAAAATCGTTGCCGCAAACAATTTTCTTAAGGCAGGATGTTCCGACCTAGAAGGAGTCCATTTTTGGCACCACAGGGGATTTTGGAGTGACCTGAACTTCCTCTGTCATGACGGGGTACACCTACAATGCCCAGGTTCACCAGTCCATGTTGTGTCTTCCTCCCCAATGCACAGATATTGGCGCAGCATTCGTTCAGCAATACTGCACTTCAAAGCTTTTCTCAGGCCAGTATAATTTGAATGATATTAATTATACATACTGATCGACTGGCTTGTCTTTATATTTTGTTGGGTTTTTAATAGGTGAAAATGCATGAGAATGAAATACTTGATATTTGTGGGACCATACACAATTTTTCAGTATAGTGGTGACTATGCAGGACCACATGTATAGTTTTACTTTCATTTTCCCTGATCAAGTTAAAACCCAGCAAAACTTCTTTTGGTAAATTTTATTGTTGTGGCTTCTTTTAGTACTTATGTGGGACCATACCCATATGGAAGTGTTATTACACATTTTACAATATAAATTGCTTGGCTACTTAATTGAGTATGCAGGGTCATACTCCCTTCTTATAAATACAAATGTGGGACCATACACATTTTATATTATGAATGGCATAGAACAGGTGGTGGCACATGTCATATTTTGTTTTTAATTCTGTGCGGGACCATACGCATTTTACTCTATGAACAGTGCAGTTACAAATCCTGTGTTTAGCCATAATTTGAGCTAACTATTTAATGCGGGACCATACGCATTTTACATTGTGAACAGTTCATGTTCATTTGTCATAAGTTGCTCTTATTTCTATGCGGGACCATACGCATAATTTATCATGAACATTTCATGTATAAGTATGTTCATTTTATTATAATTTGCTCTTAATTCTATGCGGGACCATACGCATATGTCATTATGAGCATCGCACAAGTGATATAATGTGGGACCATACACATTTTATATTATGAATGGCATAGAACAGGTGGTTGCACTTGTCATATTTTGTTTTTAATTCTGTGCGGGACCATACGCATTTTACTCTATGAACAGTGCAGTTACAAATCCTGTGTTTAGCCATAATTTGAGCTAACTATTTAATGCGGGACCATACGCATTTTACATTGTGAACAGTTCATGTTCATTTGTCATAAGTTGCTCTTATTTCTATGCGGGACCATACGCATAATTTATCATGAACATTTTATGTATAAGTATGTTCATTTTATTATAATTTGCTCTTAATTCTATGCGGGACCATACGCATATGTCATTATGAGCATCGCACAAGTGATATATATCATTTTATCATTATTTGATCTAAATTCTATGAGAGACCATGCGCATTTTACATTAGCAACAATGCACTCACAGATCAGGGCACTTGCCTTAACTACTTTGCTCTAAATTCTATGTGGGTCCTAACACATTATATAAATAGAGCAAGTTCATTTTATCATATTCTATGCAAGTTCATAACTTTATGCATTTCCATATTATTCATGCTGCTGCATATGCATACTGTCATACTTTACATTCTTTTAAGATGAATATCATGCAGTACGGCTCCGGGAAGTGCAGGTTAATATCATACTTCTCTGTTTGCATATAAAGTTCGGGGCAATTTGTCCATTGAAATTGTAATCACCAAAACCGTAGTCAATTAATTTATGTCATTTCTTTCAAGACATGCAAGTATCATACCTGTACAAAATATCAGGTCTTGTATTTTGACTGTCAATTGACTGCATTAGGTGTTGTCATTATTATACTTAATGCATACAATAATGCTGCATTGTTCAGACTTCGTATGCATAACTTGTGTATATTGCAAACATATTTATGATATTTACAGATTTTACTTCATTACATAAATTTTCTCAGGTCACCACCATGCCTCCTAAGCGGAAATTAGATGGTACATCGGGGAATTCGTCGAAAACTCGTAAAAAGCGAAATGTGGGAAGTACTGCTGATGTTACTGCGGTGGCTGAGACAAATGTTGAAAATGCCGAAGCAAATGTGAATACGGTACAGTCGAACGCTACCCCCTCCATAGACTATGACAAGTTGGCAGCTGCCGTAATAAAACAACAGTCTGTGAACAAGCCATCCACGGTGACATCATCAATGGTATCCCAGCAGAGTCAGTCAATAGCTACAACATCAACAACTCAGCCTCAGGTATCTCTGACCGGCCAAGGAGGCAGTGCATCTTCAGCTGGAATTGGAACAATTCTCGATCAATTGTTTTTAGGTGAGCCAGCAAGGTCATCCAATCAGGTTATAGAGGTAAAAGATGGTATCCCATTAGGTGCTTCAGTGTCTGTTAAGTTGAAACAAAAAATTTGGAACAATGAGTATATTGATTTAAAATCACTACTTAGCACAAAAGATGAACCTCTTTCAGTAACTATTTCTACTGGGGTCATTAACTTACATCAAGGTCAAAAAACCAAAGTCCCCATCACTCTGGGCCAGTGGACTGATGCTTTCCTCATTTTTTCAGCCATCTTTATTGAGAAATTTCCGGATGAGGCCCCTAACCTTCTCAAATACTGCCATATGATCCGTGAAGTGCAGTCCTTGCACGGTGACCATGCATTTAGACAATATGATGAGCAGTTCAGAAAACTCAGAGAATCAGTTAACGTTCCATGGCAAAACCCCATTCAGGAATTGCGACTCAAAGCTGCAACTATAAAATTTCAAGGTCCAAAGCCTCAACAGAATCATCCCTTTCGTACGAAATTCTGTTTCCAATTTAACAGAGGTGTACGATGCAGTCGAAACCCTTGCCCCTATAAACACATTTGTATGCAGTGCAAATCAAACCACCCCAAATCCAAATGCCCAGATTCTCAAAAATCAAGCTTCTCAAGAGCTCCCAACACCCATCAAACCAAAAAATCTGCATAGAGTCTCAGAGGGTTATGAACCACAGAAACTTAAATTTTTGATAGATGGTTTTAGACAGGGATTTAGTCTAGGATGTATAGGTCTTCCAACTCCAACAATTTCAAGGAATCATAAAAGTACAACCGATTTTCCATCTGTCATAGATGATTTTATAGATCAAGGCATACAGAAAGGTAGAATTGCTGGTCCCTTTAAATCCCCACCATTTGAATTTTTTGTTTCATCACCCCTGGGAGTGGTACCAAAATCTGAACCAGGGAAATTTAGGGTAATACACGATTTGTCATTTCCAAAACATAATTCTGTTAACAGTCAAATCCCCCAAGAGTGTGCCACTGTTCAGTATGATTCAATTGACAATGTCACAGCCCTGTTAAGACAATTTGGTAAGGATTCTCTCATGGCAAAAACAGATATTCAGGATGCATTCCGGATCGTACCTATACACCCCAAAGATTACAAACTTCTTGGTTTTTCATGGCAAGGTTGTTATTATTATGATAAATGTCTGCCCATGGGAGCTAGCAGCTCTTGTCAGATATTCGAATCCCTTAGTAAAGGTCTACAATGGGCAATGTGCACAAAATTTGACGCTGCAGGCATGTCTCACATGCTTGATGATTTTTTCTTCATAGGTCCAAAAGATTCCAACAAATGCTTACTAGATTTGCAACAGTTTCTGTCAATATGCAATGAGGCGGGTATTCCAATTAAAAAAGAAAAAACCCATTTCCCAACAACCATTTTAACAATTTATGGCATTGAAGTAGATTCCCACGTTTTGGAATGTCGGTTGCCTGAAACAAAACTTGTCAAGATACGAAATAAGTTGCAGGAAGTAAAGCATAGGAAGAAAATTACCCTTAAAGAACTACAGTCTCTGATAGGCTTATTAAACTTTGCTTGTTTAGTTGTCGTACCTGGTAGAGCTTTTCTTAGGCGCATTATAGATCTTACTTGTGGTGTGTCTAATCCTTCCCATTTTATCAGGCTAACATGTGAAACTAGGGCTGACCTGCAAATGTGGTCTCATTTTATTGAAAATTACAATGGAAAATCAGTAATTTTACCAGATTTTTTTTACATCATCAGATAAAGCATTATTATACACAGATGCTTCAGGTTCTATTGGCTTCGCAGGAGTTCTTGGTACAGAATGGTTTGCTCATGGGTGGGATGTGGTACCAGATTTAGAACATCACCAGATAGCTATTAAGGAGTTATTCCCTATCGTTATTGCTCTTGAAATTTGGGGGTCAAGCCTTGCTAATCAGAAAATATTGTTTATGTCAGATAACGAGGCCGTTGTGCATGCAGTCAACAAACAATCTTGCAAAGAAAAAACTCTTATGAAGCTTATAAGACGCCTTGTGCTAACATCTCTCTCATACAATATATTCTTTAAAGCAAAGCACATTGCGGGCAAGAAAAATTTATTAGCAGATAAACTTTCTCGATTTCAATTTCAGGAAGCCTTCAGAGTAGCTCCTCACTTGAATACACACCAGACTGCAATCCCTGTAGAACTTTTGAAAATTTGAGTACCGTTTGTCAACGGCTGCTAGCCTCTGCTTTGTCTCCATCATCGGCTCAAGCTTACAGACGTACATGGGAATTGTTAAGATCATGGAAGCCCACTGTCTCTCTTCCTGTTTCAGTTGTAGATGTGTGTAACTTTATTGGTCATTTGTTTTCGGTCAATTACTCACCAAGCAGCATAGCATCTCATATATCTGCAATTAGTTATGTCCACAAAATTTTAGATATGCATGACCCAACGCAGGCCTTTATTACTAGAAAGATTTTAAGGGGTTGTCAGTCATCTGTTCCAACAAAAGATACACGTCTACCTATCACACCGGACATCTTACAAAAAATATTAAATGCCCTAGCTCACACTGTCCCTCAGTATTCACTTCGCATCCTGCTTCGGGCTCTGTTTTTGTTAGCTTTTCATGCCTTTTTGAGATTAGGGGAAGTTGCTGTAAAATCACTACATAGCGGCAAGCATGTTTTACAGCGCGCGGATGTCACTTTTGACTATGTAGGGCCTACATTGTCAGCAGCTCAAATCATCATGCGTGAGTTCAAAACAAATAAGCAACATACCCCTTTGGTTCTCTCCGTCCAAGCTATTCAAGGTTCATCATTTTGTCCGTTGCATGCGTTACTTGAATACTTACAATATTCAAAGCACACATTTGGCCCATTATTTCAAACAATGGATGCTCTCCCAATTTCTTATGCAAAAGTAACCACCCATTTAAAATCAGCAGTAGAGTTTATAGGGCTTGATACAAACAACTTTAAGGGTCATAGTTTCAGAATAGGTGCAGCTTCCTACGCAGCCTCCTTAGGCTATTCTGAAAGCCTTATTAAAAAATTAGGTCGATGGAACTCTGACGCCTTTCGTAGGTTCATACGCATCAACTCCTTCCGTTTTTAGGTAACAAGGTGACCCCTTCCCCTCTTTTTGCTATATAAGCTCCTTTCTGTAATTACACACGGTGGGTCAGCATTTGGCTGCTGCCAATAAACCTGAAGTGTTTTAATAGTTATTAGGAAGGACAGTTCAGAAGTTGTCTGCTGTCATTAGGTTTACAGTTCAGAAGTTGTCTGATAATTCTATTAATGAACATTTTCTATTTTTATTTTTTATTCTCGTAGTGGTTCATCTTCTTTGCTCTTACCAATTTCCATAGGTAAAAATTTAACATTAATTTTTCTGCAACAACAATTCTTGTCCCTAATGGGAAGATGTACTAATTTTTTAATTTTTTCATTCTGGCGAAATTTATCAGTTTTTAAGTATATATGACCTTGCTGGTTTACCAAGTGTGTGACTGACAGTTCAGAATTTGTCTGCTGTTATAAGACATTGTCCATTTGTGTATAAGACACCATAGAAATTTTGTTGACTATCATGTTGAGTGTAGTGTGAACTTAACACAGTCCACAGTAATTTGTCTTGTGTAATCAAAACATGTCAGAACTTTGACTTCTGTAATGAAATGTTGATTAATTTTTCTTGTTCTTGAATATTTGGCAGGTCAGAATATGTCTGCTGTCACCTGTTTTCAATGTCGGTATCATATGATATGCAGTTGCAATTTATGTATATTGTGTTCCCCTTTCCATATACATACGATTTTTGATAATACTGGTAATCCTGGCCAGGCAGCCTTTGGGTGGGGGGATCCAATTCTTAATTGGATTTGTGGCCTAAGTTTTGTACCTACCCACCTTTTTTGTGGGCAGGCAGTTTATTGATATTCCTATTTTTTACATATGTGTTTACAGTAGGGGGCATGTCAGGTATTTTTGGTACTCATGTGTCATGAGGCCCCCTATCTGTTGATTTGTGTAAATATCTTTTTCATATGTAGTATTTTAGGGGGTCATGATGTGTTCATCACCACATGTATTATTAAAAGGGTTACATGTTTATGAATGACCCCCTGTTTTGTATATATGTTATTCGTCATTTACAAAATAAATGACATTTATTCATTCTAACACAATTGTTCTTATTTCGCCTGCCCTGTGCAAAAAACGAGCTCAGTCTCCCTGGCTAGGTTACACAAACTAAGGAACATAAATTAGTGATTATTATAAATAATAACTTTCATGTGACATGTGCAGTGTTTATTTAGTTTTCACTTATTTTACCCATATCCGTCTTATGGGTATAAACGTCTTGTGGCCTAGTTTTAACCTAACCCAAAATTTTGCCTTTTAGCCAATCATAATTCAGCAATCTGCCATGCTGCATTCATTGAATTTTGATAGAAGCCACACAAATTTGGTGCAGTGAAATTTGTACCCACCTTCCACCCCTTCTACCCCCTAAGATAGCAGGTTTTGTTTTAGTGCTTACTCACTGGGCCTAAGTTTTGTACCTACCCACCTTTTTTGTGGGCAGGCAGTTTATTGATATTCCTATTTTTTACATATGTGTTTACAGTAGGGGGCATGTCAGGTATTTTTGGTACTCATGTGTCATGAGGCCCCCTATCTGTTGATTTGTGTAAATATCTTTTTCATATGTAGTATTTTAGGGGGTCATGATGTGTTCATCACCACATGTATTATTAAAAGGGTTACATGTTTATGAATGACCCCCTGTTTTGTATATATGTTATTCGTCATTTACAAAATAAATGACATTTATTCATTCTAACACAATTGTTCTTATTTCGCCTGCCCTGTGCAAAAAACGAGCTCAGTCTCCCTGGCTAGGTTACACAAACTAAGGAACATAAAAGTGTTTTCTTCTTTTCACGCATAAGATTTTGCAAAAATTATGCTTCAAATGAATACAAAAATAGGTCTGCTAGTTACGGGGCGCAAACGGATAGAAATTCCAATTATAGATTGTTGGAAGACCTGGTTCTCCAAAAAACGATATAGATATTGTCAATCAGAAACCCAAGCATCTTTTTGATGTCAACTTCCTAGTATTTTAGTTCTGTGTACTGATTAGAATCTTACCCATGGGAAAACCTGTGAAAGACAAAGTTCCAAGGGCACAATAGTGATCGGACATTTCATCTCGTGAAGGACTATGTACGCTGCTTCTGGATCTGAGCCAAAGTTGAACTCCGACGCGATAGAAGTGGATCTGTTCCCTTTACCTTTTAGAATGAAAACAGATAAATAAATTATATCGTTTTATCTTATATCTAATAGATAATTTTGATTCTGCTATTATTTACCTTGCATGTTTCCCCCCATGATAACCAAGCCTTTCAACCGTCTAGAAAAATCCGGATCCATACGAAGTGCTAATCCAAGATTCGTCAATGGTGCCAAAGCAACTAATTTAACCTCACCTTTCGACATAATATATTATTAAGTACTAGTATTTGTTTTATTTCATTTGCATGTATAGGCCAACCGCATATTTCTTTATATAATGAAAATAATTATTTACATGTAAATTAATAATGATAATAAATACATCGTATATACATGATATGTTCTCTTTCATTTCTTATATGCAAGTAAATATCGCGCAATTTATTTTGCTAGAAACTCATATGAAAAATTAACTTGGATTTTATACCTTCATGCATTTTTGAAAGTCGCGTCAGCGCATTTACTGCGTGTTCCTCTTGAATACAATTCAAATTAACGTCCAGTGCGTCTGGAACATCACCCAAACCGTCTTTTCCATGAACATGGGAAGCATCTTCATCATAGTGTACAATAGATCTTGCACTTCCTTTGAATATCGGTATCTGGTGATGAAATTAAAAACAACCCAATTTAATTAAAATTTTGTTAGGGGTCTGAATTGGAAATAAAATATATAATTAACGAGCAGTAATCAAGCTCAGAAGTTAACTGGAACAGAATAAGCTGAGAGTAGAATAAACATGGACCTCTAGCAGAGATGAGATCAGGCCAGGTGCCATGGAGGAGTAAATATCTCCTGTCGACCGATCATATGTGTCGTCTGTTCCCTGTCATGATCGGGTAAACGGGAATTCCGCATTTTATTCAGTGTGAAAATAATGGCCTTACAATTGTATGAATATTTGCTTTAACGAAAGATTATATTTGCTGACAGAGAGTTACATAGACATAGAGTTTGAATTTAACGAGATTGTTGATTACTTATATCGCCATCTTATTTGTCAATATCTCGTTTTATAAATCGTTCGTATACAGAAAATTTTGTGTATCGAAACAACAAAGACAAAGTTCTTTAAGGGCTTTTTTAGCGTTGTAAATTGCTGAAAAATCAGAACTGGTCAGTTTTAGTTGAAAATATCTTAAATTTCACTTGGACCCTTGGTGACTACATATCATTTAGAAATGATGTAATTTTCTCTTCAGCCCATGTATTATGCATATCATGAACTGTGTCATTTTCCTCAAATCTTGAAAATTTCTTTTAAATTGACCAAAAATTTAGCTGCTTTTAAATATGCTGCATAGACCCAACATCTGACTAAATTTGTAAAATAATATAATGAATATATAATTAACTGTTTCAAAAGATTCTAATCCATGGATGGTTTTTTGTTTGTTTGTTTTTTTTTTTTTTTTTGATGAGCAGGGTGGGCTCATATTTTAATTATTTGTTGAAGATGCTAAAATCCACTTATTTTCTTGGAAATTCAAGGTTATTACAGTTTTGAAAGACTTTTTTCAATACCTGGACTCTCGGATTTTTATAGGCAATAAAAACATTGTTTATGTCTCTACTTTATAATGATGTTCAAAATGGAACATTGGGGCCCTTGGTATTTGGAAAAAGCCAGCTTATGGAGTAAGTCATTAGTGAACCCAACTCTTTATATGTTATGAAATGAGTTGAGATAACGAACAGTATTTGAGCTCAGAAGTCCATTAAACATTGAAAATAGGAGCGGAGCAAACACGGACATCCAAAACATCAAAACATCAGAGGTGTGATCAGGTGCTATGGAGGTGCTATGGAGGAGTGAGCATCCTCTGCCAATTATGGCATATTGCTTTATAAGGAAAATTGCCCCCCAAAAAGTTTAAATCATCACTTTTATCTTTTATAGTTAATTTCCATAACCCATAACTTTTCCACCCATCGAGAAGTATTGCACTTAAACTGTTTTTAAACTAATCAATTTAAACATTTCATCATCTGGATCAAAAATTAATTTCAATTGAATTACTTACATGTAGAGAATCACAAATTTTAAGAACACGCAGCGTATTTTTGCAGACGTTATCAATGTCCACATTTCCATTGACACACGTGATAGCTATGACGTCAATTTCTGGTCTGGACACTGCCATCATGATAGCCTGAGCATCGTCCACCCCTGTATCACAGTCTATAATCATCTTCTGCTTCGCCATTTTTCAAGAGGACAAAGTATGTTCTCATTCCCTATTAAACCTCAGCTCAGACGGGTACTGTTAAGATACTTCATTGCATTTCTTATATCAAAAGCCGAAATTGCTGTGCTAATATATTTGGAGTGATAAAGCATGTTCATTGAATTATTTGAATATCTTTATATCAAAAGTTTATGTGTGTGCATACATATTGGATAGCATTATACATTTAATTTGTTAATATCAAGAGAGAGAATGAATCTTAAAAAAAAAAAACCTTTAAAGATCATGATTTTACAAATGTTAATTCAAGAAGTACGTACTAAATACATTCAAATTGTCTCTCAGAAACATTGTTGAAATTTGGTACTCCTCTATAAACATGTATTTTCCATAAATGTCTAGCGAGTTAACAAAAAAATCAAACTTATAATTGAATCATGATTCAATGAAATTGTGGGGTTTTTTTTCTGTTGCAAGATGCGTAGAATTTTTCCGTAAAACTAAAATAGTGGCTCAGTATTTCATAGAATTGAAATGTTTCTACAGTACATGCAAAGAAAATGTGTCCCCCACGTAGTTTTGCTGCTTGGGACACCAGGTATCGAAAATACATAAAATATTTTTCTTTCTTTGGAACCCCTTACATGGTTTGAACATATTTTATTGTTTTGGTGTTTAAACAAAAGGGTTGGACACAAGTTCTTAAAAACTTAGAACGTCCTCTCCTTTAAAACAATTTGTAACACAAAGTACATTGTTCAAAATTAATTTACACAGGAACCAAAGGTCAATAAGATTATCTAACATAGACAATGCATATACAGAATTGAATTAATGTAGTATGGACATACTAATCTAAAAGCATTACTCAAAAACGACCAGATCTGTTAATATACAATTCAATTGCACATTTAAAAATAAACTTTCATTTTCAGAAATACTGATCGAATTATCTCCCCATAATAGAACATGAGTGTCTACAATACGTAAATTTATCATTCTAAAAATAGCATTGAACAAATCGTTTCTTGGGGCAGTGTAGTTCACACAAGAAAAAAAGAAATGATATGCATCTTCTATTTTTCCGCAAGTACACAGTGGACTGTCAATAATATTACACCTAAATAAGTCTTTATTTAGGACACAATTGTGTCTTAATCTAGTATGAATTACACTCCAGTAACGATCACCAAAAGTAAAAAATGACGGGGTGGGTGTTTTCTGAGAGTTTATACATTTTTTGAAGGAACCAATTGTAGTGGATTGTCTTGTTTCAAGAGATAAACAATTCCATTCCCTTATTGCCATTGGAACAAACGATGATTTATAAATATTTAATCTACACCTAGGGATACAGTAATTTTGTGATTGTCTTGTTACGTAATTTGATTCTTGTGATCGAATGTTTGGAAATATTTCTTTCAAATAACCGGGTACCATATTATGAAATATTTTGTACATAGTTGTTCTTACTTTGGACATTCGTCTAACAGCAAGTGGTTCCCAACCAGTTTCAAAATAGAGAGAATCTCGCGATGCCAATGAGGTTAATCCAGTGACTATTCTTGCTGCTGCAAGTTGCAATTTTTCTAGTTTTTCAGAATCTTGACTAGAACACCCACACCAAACTTCGGTTGCATATTCTAACTTAGGTCTTATAAAAGTAGTATATAAAATAGATAAAGTTTTTGCACTGACCTTAAACTGCAATTTTTTAAGTAGACCTAATTTTTTATATGCATTAGCTACGATAGAATCAATGTACCCTGACCAAGTGAGGTCGTTTGAAAATAGAATACCTAAGTGATTATGTGATGATACTAAATCTAAATTACAATCTTGAAATTTTAACAATGGTAAATCTACGTTTTTCTTAGTACTAAAAAATACAGCTTTGGTTTTAGTAGGATTAAATTTCAATAGCCATTGTTTAGACCACCGCTCAAGTTGATTTAAATCATTATTCAATCCTAATTGAATATCATGTACATTTTCTGAACATTTCTGTAAAGAATTATCATCAGCATACAATCTGTTTAAGGTAGACATATTTTCAGCGACATCATTGACATATATCAAGAATAAAAGTGGTCCCAATACAGACCCCTGGGGAACTCCAGCATGTAAAGATCTAAAACTAGACATAGTATTCCTATGCAATACCCTTTGTGTCCTTAAATCTAAATAACTTTGAAACCATAATAATAACTTATCACTAACACCATAAGTTTGTAACTTAAAGAGAAGGCCTTTGTGCCAAACCCGATCAAATGCCTTAGACAAGTCGCAAAAAACCATACAACAGTGTTTTCCTTCATCTATAGCTTTAGCTATGTAATCGAATGTCTCAATAAGTTGATAAACTGTTGAATGACCTGGTAAGAAGCCAGCTTGATATTTGTAAAAAAGATTGTTTGAATGAAAATAATTGTAAACATATTTAAAAATAACTCGCTCCATAATTTTTCCAACGCAGCTTAATAATGACACTGGTCTATAATTTGATAATAATGATGGGTCACCTTTTTTAAATAAAGGAAGTACATTAGCTACCTTCCACTGTGTAGGAAATACACATTCTCTTAAAGATCTGTTAAACAAAATACATAAAGGATAAGAGACGCTAAAAATGGTAGCTTTTAACATTTTATGACTAATGTTGTCAGGTCCTATTGCCTTGTTCACTGGGAGAATAGAAATTATATCAATAATGTCCTGTTCAACTATTTCAATACTATTAAAAACACTATTACATAATAAAGAAAAAGCTGGTAATGCAGGTTCGACATCATGCGAAGCCGAAACCGAAGCAAAATATCTATTTAACGCTTCAACCTTGTCAATATCGCTGTAATTAATATGCATATTTCCATTTTCTGTAATATCCTGCAGCGGTGGAATTTCGGACCTAACCTTAGTTTTAAAAACATCTTTTAATAATTTCCAATAAATTTTAGAACTTTTGATACTTGCTTCGATAAGATTGGTCTCTATATTGTTGTAATAGTTTGCCATTGCTACTTTTTTCATGTTATTTACTTTATTACGTAGTTTTTTAAACTTATTTTTATCTGAATCTTTTTTTGTTTTGTGAGCTTTTTCTCTTGCACGATTTCTCTGACGAATCGTTCTTCGCAAAGCGGAATCCATCCAGGGTTTATCCTTAGGCCTTATTGTAACTGTTTTTTCAGGAATGCAATTTTTAACATGATTTAAACCCCTTACATACATGTATTTATTTTTGAAACCAAATGCATACAGATTTTCATGGAATATTAATATACTTAATTAATGACACGATTAAGAATAACTTTTCAACATTTAATATCAATCTCAATCGTTTCTTGTTTCATTTTTGCAAAAAGTACATTGTATATTCAAATACATGGGTTTTAAACATTGAAATATTCAATTAACTAATCTTTAAAAAAATAATAAACTAATCTTGTAACATGGATCTCCAGAGAGAAAAAGATTTCTCTACATCTGTTTTTTCTACAATGGTAACATTGGGAGACTTTTTCAGTTTGTCACGCCAATCAGCAACCAACATGCCGCGTGTCAAGTTCCCATTTAGTTCCACTGTGGCAAATATGTCCACAGATTTTAGTACAATAGAACTGTCAATTGCAACTGCCGTCGCAAAAACATCACAGGAACGATAACCAAGCTCTCGGTTCCTTTTCTGATGGGCAACTGTACTTTTGGTGATTGCTTGAAGGAAGTTCGATTTTCTAGTTTCTAAACTGAGACATTCCTCAGCCCTTTCCTAAAATTATCACAAAAATATAATTATACACGTACTTCCTTTGGGTCTTTTTTTAAACAGCAAAATAATTAGTGTCTCCGCTTCGATTATGAATTGATGAGCTATTATTGAAAATAAGCAAACATTTAATCGAACCAATTTAAATTTGCAGAAATGAGCGATTGGTGCAAGCCTTGCAAAATGAAAAGTTTAACTGTAATGCATTCGTTTGGTATCCTAAGGAAACTCGAGAAAAAAATTATTAGTTTTATTATATTGAAAAGCTACTTGAAAATATCGTTATTACCCTTGTAGTTTAATACCTAATATAAAATTTAGTGTACATTAAACTGTTAGTAAGAATACCATTTTGAAATCGATATCCTACACTATCAAATTTTAATATATTACCCAAGGATACACATCTATCAGGCACAGCTCCCATGGCACAATGGTGATCGGACATTTCATCTCGTGAAGGACCATGTACGCTGCTTCTGGATCTGTGCCAAAGTTGAACTCCGACGCGATAGAAGAGGACCTGTTTCCTTTCCCTTTAATATATATCCAGGTAAAATTGTTCTTTACAAGTTAAATTGTAAATAATTATATTATTTCACCTTCAACTCATTATCTCTGGAAATAATTCGATGTACCTTGCATGTTACCTCCCATAATCACCAGGCTCTTCAAACGTTTGGAAAAATCAGGATCCATTCGCAGTGCTAATCCCAGATTTGTCATTGGAGCCAATGCAACAAATTTTATTTCTCCTGTAGAAAAAAAAATGCCACGAAAGAGGAATACCGGTATATATTAACTTAAAAAGAAAGTTTGTCTCCTTTCATATTGCATTGATTTATAATTTTTTAACCAATGTTTTGCCTAACTTTTCAATCATACCTACTCATCATCAGTTGGTCTCGGTGAATGGTGTTTTTGCATTTCAACACTTACAGTGACTTATGACCTTCCCTTCCAAATGATTTAATTCGGGTTATAACGCTTTATTTGATGGAAAGAAACACTAAATTGAGTTGCCTACATCACAAAATGACATACAATATACATGTACTAGTATGTCAAAAATCGTGACGTGTATTAAAGTAAACTTTGGATTGGTTGAAGCTATGTATGGCACGCCAAATTCACAAAAATGAGATAAACCTAGTTTCACAATTGATAAACTAGGTTTATCGACTGTAAACTATAGTTTACAAACCGTAAACTATAGTTAACGATTCGTTAAGTATAGTTTTCATCTGTAAAACTTTATTTAACGGTCGTTAACTATACTTTACGAATGCTAATCTATGTTTATCTGTCTGAATAAAGCGTTAACAATAGATTTTGTTGATAAACATAGATTCACGTTTGTAAACTATAGTTTACAATCGTAAACTATAGTTAAGAGTTGTTAATCATAGTTTCACAAATCGTGAAACTATATTTATCAGATCGTTAACTATAGTTAACGGTTTGTAAACTATAGTTTACAAATCGTGAAACTGTATTTATCAGATAATCTATGTTTTGCGATCGCAAATGATTGTTTTCGATGTTAAGTATAGTTTACGGTTGTGAAACATAGATTATCGCGTTAACTATGGTTTACAGATGTAAAATATAGATTAGCGTTGTTAACTATAGTTTACAGTCCGTAAACTATAGTTTACAACCGATAAACCTAGTTTATCGACTGTGAAACTATGTTTTGCTCATTTTTGTGGATTTGGCGTGCCATAGCTATGGCTTTTATATATTTCATATGTATTTCTTCTGACAAGAAATTTCTTTAGGGTACCAATATTATCTGACCTCTTGATTTTGATCTTGGATTTTGTTCCAATCTTTCAAAATTTAACCTTATCAGATCGTTAACTATAGTTAACGGTTTGTAAACTATAGTTTACAAATCGTGAAACTGTGTTTATCAGATAATCTATGGTTTGCAATCGCAAATGATTGTTTTCAGTGTTAAGTATAGTTTACGGTTGTGAAACATAGATTATCGCGTTAACTATGGTTTACGGATGTAAAATATAGATTAACGTTGTTAACTATAGTTTACAGTCCGTAAACTATAGTTTACAAGCGATAAACCTAGTTTATCGACTGTGAAACTATGTTTATCTCATTTTTGTGAATTTGGCATGCCATATATATGGCTATCATACTGAGTATGTGTATTTTTGAAACTATTACAAGAGTAAACGATTTATTCTCCTGTAATTTTTTACATAATAAAATTTCCTCTCTTCTCTTCTTTTAATAAGCTGTAATATTATCATTCAATCATTTTCTCTCAAATATCATAGGAGGTTTTTAAGAAGCATACCCTCATACAACTTCGTGAGTCTGGTCAACGCATTTACAGCATGTTCTTCTTGAATGCAAGATATATCGACTTCCGGTGGATTCGGATGGTCACCCATACCATCTTTTCCGTGATAAAAGGAAGCGTCTTCATCGTGGTGTATAATGGGTCTTCTACATCCTCTGAACACTGGTATCTTGGGTAAAACAAAGTTGTCCAGATTAGAACATGGCCTTTAATCTGCTAAATTCCCATACTTCACATTTATAGCAACCTACATTTTTTTGTTTAAATTCTTATCCACATGCATGCCTTTCAGACCTACTGTTGTATATATAATCACCTATATGTTTTTGTAGTCTCTGTATACTACTGTAAAATGGTGAAGAGATTTAAATAAATGATTGATTGATTGGTATAATCAAACGCTTTACTTAAATTACCGGTAATATGTCATAATCACTGCCTTAAAATACCTCTAAATTGATGCACTGCGTATAGCTTTTAGGAATATAAGTACTTTTAATGTCTTTTATGAACAGATTACATCATGTTGAAAATTCCTTTTACTTACATGTAGAGAATTACAAATTTTAAGAACACGCAGCGTATTTTTGCAGACGTTATCAATGTCCACGTTTCCATTGACACATGTGATTGCTATGACGTCAATTTCTGGTCTGGACACCGCCATCATGATAGCCTGAGCATCGTCCACCCCTGTATCACAGTCTATAATCATCTTCTGCTTTGCCATTTTAGATGGCAATGAAATATTGTGGAGAAATTGTGAATTTAACACGGCTAATTTCGCTCCTTTTATCCTCCTATAAACAAGATTATGTTTGCATATAATGTATATATAGTAGATTATGTTTGCATTTAATTAAATAGTTAAACATGATTTTGAATACTTAGATTTAATCATATGACTATAGTATACTAGTATGCATGATCAGTGACGAGGACATTATTTTACTTCCTGTACCTTAACAAGTCTTTCATGCTTGCAGTGAACTTTTATTTGTATGAACTTGAATGAAAAGAAATTAATTTTTAAATATTAGTAATATCTAATAATGCTTCTTTGCCATTTGCTATGTACCAAACAGGTGCCCATATTTTTTTTCTAATGAAGCGTGAATAGATTTCATTATTTAGAAATCTAACTAATCTTCGTGATGACTTCTAGCGTGGTATGCTTTGATCACGATCTGTAATTATTTTTTATCGCATAGCAATATACGATTCTAGTGATACTGGAAGTTTATGCTAACTAACTAGTACAACAACAACAACACAAAAAACACTTACAGTGAATATCGCACTAAGGTGAACATCTCGTGCCATACGAAATAATTGTGAATCTGCATTAGAATTCACAAAGAACAGATTTGTCTGAAAGAAACCTCTAATTTCTTGAATGGAATATTTAAAAATAAAGGGAATTTTATACAAACCATGAGACAACTGGTTTACGATTGTTAAGGAACACAGCTCATAGGCGTAGTCACAGGGGGGGGGGGGGGGGGGGGGGGGGGCAGCAGGGGCACTAGCCCCCCCCCCCCCCACTTTCAAATCTGGGGGGGCAAGAGTATGTCTGTGCTCCCCCACTTTTTAAAGAAGAACAAAATCACAGCTATTTTTCCCCAACATTACCTTTACTATAGGAAATATTCATTGAATGGATCCCCCCCACTTTTTGACCCTTGCATAATTGGATTTGATTTGAAAGTAACTTGCCTTTGAAAAAGTTTGCCTCTAACCCCCCCCCACCCACGAAATAGGATTTCCGAGATTGGGGAACTTCCCTTTGTTTTTTTTTTTTTTTGCTTGTCAAAGAATTTCTGGAGTTGAGCCCAGCCAGTTTTAAGTTTGGTTTTTTTTTTTTTTTTTTTTTTTTTGCTTGTCAAAGAATTTCTGGAGTTGAGCCCCCCCCCCCCCCACTTTTAAGTTTGGTTTTTTTTTTTTGTTTTTTTTTTTTGCTCGTCAAAGAATTTCTGGAGTTGAGCCCCCCCACTTTTAAGTTTGTGACTACGCCTCTGCAGCTTACTTGAATTATTCCTGTTCACTCCTTGGGGAACATAGGGCCGCAACCAGACAGCGCCAGAGGACTCTGTGTTGGGATATATTTTTCGATTTGGTCGTAGTTAAACCTGCCTCTTTTGTCTCCATTTCCATGGTCCTTTATCAGGTTTGTCTGGGTCTTGTGGAGAAAAAGCGACCCTAATTAGTGGTTACATCAATTTTTACATTTCTATCTATTTGTAGTTTCAATCAACCTCTACACTGCTCTTTTTGTGAATAATTTTCCAAATGTTACACACAACCTCCTCTCCATTTCACCCCTGATTAATTAACACTGGCAATATTTACTGACCATAAGTTCCTACTGCATGTATTCCCAGGTTTTGAATTAATATCAAGTTAGATGCATGATATGATTAATCTTGTTATACAGAAGAGCAAGATTGGAATGGGACTTTTTATGAGCAACTATAAATGGCGCACGATATTACTAAGCGTTAATTGCAAATGTCTGCTCATGGAATACGGTCTGCAAGAAGGTCTAAATACCTTATGAAATATATGGAGATAACGAACGATATTCAAGCTCAAAAGTCCATTCAACAATAGAAATCAGAAGCCGAGCAACACGGACCTCTAAACATCAGAGGTGGAATCAGGTGCCATGAAGGAGTGAGTATCCCATACCGACCGGTCAAACCCACCGTGTGCTCCTTGTCTTGATCAGGAAATAACGGGAAAATCCATCGTCAATTCAGTGTGTAAATAATGACTAACTATTAGAATGAAAATCGTCAGTCATCATTTGACTTAATGATAGGTGGTATTTGCTGACAAGGTCATTGTTCGACCATAAAATGATGACTTTAAATGAGACTACTGATGTAATTTTCATCAACTTGTGCGTCAATAAATTACCACGTTCTAGAAATTGTTCAAGACGTAGAGCATGCTCTTGCGTATCGAATCAACTGAGACATATAAACCCCGTATGCAGAAGGATATGAAGATAACGAGAAGTATTCAATCTCAAAGTCCATAAAACAATACAAAATAAGAGCAGAGCAAACACGGACCTCCGAAACATCAGAGGTGGGATCAGGTGCCATGGAGGAGTGAGCATCCCCTGCTGACCGGTCACACCTGCCGTGTGCTCCTTGTCATGATCAGGAAATAACGGAAAAATCCGTGGTCAATTCAGTGTATAAATAATGGACTAACAATTGGTATGAAAAACGTCAGTAAGCATTTGACTCAATGATAAATTGTATTTGCTGACAAGGTCATTGTATCGACCATAGAACTTACGAAATGATGACTTTAAACGAGACTGTTGATATTCTTGTTTCATCAACTTGCTTGTCAATAATTTACCTCGTTTTAGAAATTGTTCATACGTAGAACATGTTCTTGTGTATCGAATCAACTGAGAGATATAAACTCCGTATGCAGGTGATGAAGGTATATTGCTGCATAGGTAAGGGAAGTTGACGATAGAAAAGTTAATGTCGTCACGTTTATCATATAGCTTGTTTGTTAGGTTACCATTAACGTCTTTTTCAAGTAAAATATCCAAGTATGAAACAGATGTGTCAGACTCTGTCGCATCTTTAATCTCAAGCTCTCCTGGACATATCGTATCGACGTAGGAATGGAAATTACCATTGTTAATTGGCAATACGTCATCGATATATCTGAAAGTCGAGTTGAAGGCCACAGCAAGTGTTTTCTTCTTTTCACGCATAAGATTTTGTGTAAATTCTGCTTCATATGAATACAAAAATAGGTCTGCTAATACGCTCCGTATGCAGGTGATGAAGGGTACATTACTGCATAAGTTTAGGGAAGTTGACGATAGAAAAATTAAAATCATCACGTTTACCACAAAGCTTGTTAGATTTGAATTAACGTCTTTTTCTGGTAAAGTATCCAGATTTGAAACAGATGTGTCAGACTGACTGCGGTATCATTTATTTCTAGCAAACTGGTACATATGTGTTGACATACGGATGGAGAGAGCAATAGTTAATTGACAATTACGCCGTCGATGTACTGTATCTAAACGTCGAGTTGAAGGCCACAGCAAATATTTTCTTCCTTTCAGGTATAAGATTTTGAACAAATTCTGTTTCATGTGAATACAAAAATAGATCAGTTATTAACGGGGCATAATTAATACCTGTAGGAATTCCAAAAGATATATTGTTGTAAGACCTGGTCTCCAAAAACCAAAAGCAAGCAACCAATGAAAAGGTAGTAAATTTACGAAATCCATTTTGATTGAAAAAGCACTGTCAATGATGTCAAAAAGCCTGAACTTTAATTCGTCAAGGGGAATGGTTGTGCATTGAGTTGAAAAGTCATAAGTTTGTATGTTGTTGATTTTGGTAAAATTTAGTGATTTCAAATTTTCCAGAAGTTCCCTTGAAATTTTAAATATCCACGTCTGATTTACACCACTTCTCGAATGTATCGTTGCACAGTACTCCTGAAGTTTCTCCTTCTCTCCTGTTAATATTTTAGCGAGGAGTAAGGAAAGAGTCTTGGTATAAACAAACAAATGAACGAAATTCTTATAGAGACATCTCGTCTTGTAGCTGTTCATTTTCATTCTTGCACTGAAAGCATTCCTGGTATTGTTGCGGTCGATGCTTTCTGTGCAACATTAGCATCCCAAGTTTGAATTTACACGCTTCCTGGTTTTAATCTTCAGAAATATGTACCATTAATATTAGTTTTAAGCCTATTATCGCCAGCAACAAAATTTTAACTATACATATTATCGTTAGTTCTAAATTATACTGTCGTTGGGGCTTCCAAAGTAATACGAATTTTATGTCGATGATGTCAAATATCATACTCTCAGTTTTTATAGATGGTACGTTCACTAAAAGATTTTTTTTTTGCTTGCAATTGTCAGCAGCAACGGTGTCAGGAGCAGGATGAAATAAATTCATAACAAAGACCAAAGGTCTTTCTCTCTCTCATATTTTCAATGCCCCCGTAACTTATTCTTAAAAAAAGAAGCAATACAAAACGCCTCCGATTATTTTAACTATGTGCCAATGCTGACGTTTATTTCATTTACTGTGAGAAACAAAAAACTTGTTGCTGGTGTCACCAAGTACAAAAATACGAGTAGTGCGGGTCGTGTTTATATTTTGTTCCCAGCGACAATATGTACAGGGCGACAAAATGTACCCTTCAATTTTCAATATATAGAAGATGATATTGCATGCTATAGTTAAGACATCAACTAACTTCAATTCATCCCTGATATAAGAGATGCATTTATCAGTTTTAGAGCCAATAAAGTTATAATGAATCTTAATTTTTTAATATATATTTTCAACATGGGGTACCTTGCATTTAGCCTTAGGAAAAATGCATGTTCAAAGATAATCAAATGAAGTACTTATAAGCAGAAATCACTGTTGTTTACTTAGGTACATGTAGGTAAAATACATATTAATGAAGTGTCTAATCTATTCATCTTGGCTTCTTAAAATGTTATGAATGCTTGAATTGATCACAAATAAGTAATACACTGTACATTTCAATTTATAATTACAATGTATTTTATTCTACATCAAAGGGAAGATTACTCTATCTGCATAAAAATACCACAAAATCAGAATTCTATATATAGTGTACAAAGGGCTCAAATGTTATCAGATCATTGCCATTTGTCTAAAATAAATAATGAAAGACTGAGTCACAAATATTCACTTTTATTTTGAACACATTTTCTAGGAACTTTGCATAATGACTCCTTCCTTTAATTTGAGTTAAAACATTGCTGTGACGTCAAGCCTTTGTTCTTGCAGTCTAAAAATTTACCTGTAGCCGTCCGATAATAATAATTACCAGTCTGATAATATATTATCGGACGGCAATGATAACAAAATCGGACGGTATTTAAAAAGCAAAAAGAAGAGTGAAATTAAGATTAAATATGTCTAGAAACCCCCAATAAAAATGTTTGGAAAAAAATTAGGGAAACCAAACGCAAGGAAATTAAGTTGATCACAGTACAAAATAGCAAATCGATGAGAAAAATTCCAAGTTTAAACCTTCCACGACATTAATTTTCACTCTTTAAAAGAGTTTTTTGATTCAGCACTTTGAAAAAGCGAATTTAAATCCATTTCTGAAAAAAAAAAAGATTCTGCAATCTCCTTTTATGTTTGTTTCCCGATGGCAACACTTTCAAAACCTGAGAATTTCCATTATCTTAGCTAAAAATTCAGCTAGGGTAAAAATCCGCATTTTACTTGCCACGGTGATGGTTAAAATATTGCCCAAAATTATGTCAGTATCAATGTCAATTTAGGGACATCATAAATAAAAATGTTCCCCCAAAAAATCTTTCACCACCGTACCCCTGTCCTGCTAAACGAAACGACTGCCACTGAATGAATGAAATTAATGAAACAAGAGTTCACTCACTTTTTTACCGTTCACTCATTTCTTTTATCTACTTATTAGACGGGTAGAAAACAATGGATGCTTGAACTCCCATTGTGTTATTAATGACTCCTCCAGGTAACTTTTGGACATTTAAATGGCAATGTTTTAAGTAAGATATATGCCTCATACTATTCTATATGTAAAATTATCAGACAGTTTTCGGCCCTAACGGGCCTCAAACAGTCTGATAATTTTACATATAGAACAGTATTCGGCATATATCCATTACAGAACTTACAACAATTATTTCCCCTTGAAATTTCCCTTTCACTCACAACAGGGTCTATAAAAATGTTGTATGACAATATGAATATTACATGTACCAACATCAAACACATGGATATGAACTTTACAAAAAATATCACTTGCATCAAGTATCTGTTTTTAATTTTTTGGTGGGTGGATCATCTTGTTCTCTCTCTAGCATGGGTGGCTCTGAATCTGAAAATTTAGAGTTCTAAATTTTATGTCACTTTAATGTTTAAAGTTAATTCAGTAAATGTGGCTAATATTTTGTAATTACTAAGAAAACTGGTAGCAATTCTATATACCATTTGTATCCTCTGAAATTTTCTTCCTATCATCTTTGATCATTCTCATGGCTGTAAATACATGAAAAAATATTTTAATCATTTAATTGTTTAAATAGAGCACAATAATTACACACACTGGGAAAAAGTATTTACTTTATGTTTCATCTTAATATTTGTGTAACTTCTTAGTTTGTAGTTATAAAATTCAAATAAGGTAAATAAATCATAAGGTCTGTATTATTTGTGTCAAGTAGCAACGTCATACACATATTGGATAAAACACAGAGACTGAGTGATTATACATATTAAAGCATGATTCCTGCTGTATTTCTAATTGTTTTAATTTTGTTCGATAAAATTGTCATTACACAAAATGAACCATTGTTGAAACATGAATGACATTACTCATTAGGCAGGCTATGAATAATGGAATTCATTTATGGATCTAAAATATTTTGTTATTAGCACATGAAAAGCATCAAGAACAAAAATTACATCATTTACAATCAAATTAATTTTAACATCTCATCTCAGTTTTCTGTATTTATATATCTATTTATGTTCTGTAAATGACTAAAACTTATTCAGTTTATGAACAAGCTAATACTGTATGCATAACCGTACCATCACAATTACTTTTACATGCCTTTAGTTTACAATCCTCTAGTTGTTATGACTGTTCAGTATCATATGATTCTCATAAAAATTTAATCTAAAGCTACATTCTTATTTTTCTGTTAGTGTTAGATTTTCATTGTCATTCCGGCACTTAAAAATTCTTACAACTGTTTGAGAATAAGGTAAATTCTTCCAAATGGTGGTGTGATTTAGTTGTTACAGAGATTGTAGGACTTACCAATCCTCATGTCGGTTTGATTGCTGTCTGTGTCCTGAGACTGGGAGAACCCTGTGTTACTGTTGTCAGGAAATGACTGGTAGGAATCTTCATTCATATTGCTCACTTGATCACTGCAGAGAGAGTCTGGCTGAGACTGCTGTGTATTTTCATCAGTGTAAACTTGCTGGGCTATTAAAGAATCAGAGTGATATGGTAATGGGATTCATCTGCTAGATTAAGCATTAATATTGGAGAGCAATAACAATTTATTTATGAATGGGGCCTTTTACTGTTTGCCAACCAGTGAGCATTCAACCCCATGAATATGATTATGAATGAGCGACTTCATGAGTGAATAGAACACATAGTAAATTCCAGAATACTGTAATTCACTATGCTGTATAATAGATGAAAATGATGATGATGGTAATGAAATGATTAGTATATTAGGTCACAAATTATTAATAAATAAATTACATAGTATTTATTATAATATTAATTTATTCACCCTGTGACAATAATAATACAATATATTATTTCATAGAAACATATTACCCTTTCAATACTTTAAACACAATCAATTAAGGTTTAAAACTTAAACTTAAGAATTAAATAAACATGACAAATAGACAATGTTTTAATACTCACATGAACTGTTTTCGTTCACATGGACCTTACTGATATCACTTCCTTGAGATGCCTCAGTGTCATGTGTGGATCTTGTTTTCTTCTTTATGTTTGATCTTACTTTCAAACTTTTCCTCACAGCATTAGGCTGAAAAAAAGAAAAAATAAATAAACATACAATTTATTTATTTCAATTTCCTTTTTAAAAATTAGCAGTAAAAATTAAGAAACTCATGTTTTCTTTCTTTCTAAAATATATAATTTTATAAATATTATTTTCATGATTATTTATTTCCTCTTGTTTTGTTGACTTTCAAACTTACTGGTAATGGTTCAGATGCAGAAACTGAAAAAAATAATAAAGATTAGAATATAAACAAGTCTGGAAACAAAATTAAAACAACTCTAGCAATAAAAAACATACTGAATAGAAGCCTAAAAATCACAAAACTTAAATTCGTCAAAAACATGATCAGTTATAAAATATAAATGTTCAAACATATCCATTCCAGTCTCAGATTCAACAACATATATATGGGAAAAAGATACACATAATGAAAATTATTACAATTTGTTAATTGACCAAGTTTGCAGTAATAAATATTTTACCTGGAACCCATTTATATATCCTCATTGTCGTGTCACCGATTGTAACCCATCTTTTCTCCCTGTAAAATCACATAAAAACAATATCAGCATTCAGTGATGCACAGCTGTTTATCTCCAAACTTTAAAACATATGCCTCATGGATTTGTAAGCTTTTCTTGGTATTAGACGAAAAGTTTCAATGTATTACTAATTTCTAAAAGTTGACTTTAAAAAAAAAAATGTATTCTCAAACCCTGAAATATTTTGCATGCACTGGAAAAAAGTAGTGATGAGAGGTACCGACGACCTAGTTAGAATGATCTAACTGTGTCTCGGTACAACGATAGAACGTTCTATCTACCGACGACCAGGTTATCATTTTCATGGAAGAAGTTTCAACTTACCATTTCCTGACTTTATCTATTGCAGTTATTACTCTTTTTATATCTTCTTTGGCCCTGCTACGAGTTTCTGCTCTTACTGATCTTGATAACATTTCTACTATTTAAAAAAGAATCACACTAAACGGTAGAAATGAGCAAACAAAGCAACTGAACTGGCAAGCAAAATTAGCCGGAAGTGAATAACAGATCGTAAAAACAGAACTTAAACGGCTACGCACAAACATCCCGGAGAAATATTAACTCACTAAAACTTGCGATTTCCCCGGAATGAATATATTGAGCTATAGTTTGAATTAAAACTGAGATGTCTGGAGATTGAATTGAAAATAAGTATATGTATTTACAATGAGCAGATTCATTACGTTGGGATATTGACCCCCTTTTCAAGTCTGGTAGTTTTTTTCCCTGAGGAAGGGGCATCCCAGTCAAAAAATCCTACTTAGAGTGTTCGAATAAACTTATTTTCGTAATGAAGGTTGCTGCTTTATTTTACTTCTGAAGCTTCATATGCATGCGCGGGTCTAGGGGGGAGTGGGGAACCCATCCCCTCCCCACCGGAATTTGTAGAGTTTTTAACTATAAAAGTTTTTGTAGACTAAACCAAATAAAAGTTACATTGATACCCTCGCGCACCTCTCCTCGACCGGAATTGTAGAGTTTTTAACTATTATAAAAGTTTTTGTAGACTAAACCAAATAAAAGTTACATTGATACCCAAAATCTAGATTTCGGAAAGCGCTAGCGAAGATGCACCTCTCCAGAAATGTTTATTAATACAATAACAAGTCTCCTTTAAAACACCAGGTCTATATGGAATGCAAGCCTTTCAACTAGATCAGCATTTTTTGACCTTGACCTTTCCTTTGACCTCTCTTTTCTTGGATAAGTATTTAGAAGTTTTAAATAAACCACTAAAAATATTTTTGTCAAACATAATATGCTGATATGTATTAGTGGGGGCATTTCAACTGCATAAAAACTTTTGACCTCTTTCCTGTGACCTTGGCCTCCCTTTTCTTTAATTTGTATTTTGCTTAGTTTTAAAGAAACCATTTAAGATATTTTTATCTTAGCATGCACTTATATATAATTTGGTGAGAATTTATCATCTATATCCATTTTTCCAGATTTCAATTTCAATTTAAAGAGACTGTTCAAGATATTTTTATCAAACTTCATACAATTATACAAATTTTCATGTTGCATTACTAATTTATACTAGGTGGGGCATTCATGTCCCATGGACATATTTTAGATTTTGTTAACACTATTTTTACACTTTATTATAGATAAATCCCTTTTCCCTTGTGAAAATAAGCAAAAATACTGTTTATACAGATATTGTATTGTTTTTAATTTAAGTTATTTTACAAATCACAATTAATTTTAAAACCAAACTGTTTAAACCTGAAGTTTAACATTTATTTTGATTTTCAATACAAAATTTGTTTTCAATCTTCTAAAAAAATATACATGTACAAAGCTTGCTGAAGGCTTCAATGCTAAAAGCAGCATATCTGAGGTAGTCTCAAATGACTATGAATAATTCACAATTACAAATAGAAAGAAACAGGCTTAAGAAAGTGAACTACTGACTTTTTATGAAATGCTACTAAAGTTATCATCAACTTAAACACTAACAATACACATGGATGTTTCAAGCGACTGGCAGCAAAAAAAGAAACAACCTTAACTAAACAATGTCATCTAGTTTGGATTCATACAAATACCAAACAATTATTGGTACAGGATGAATATCAAAACAACCAAATTACAATCGGAGATAATTCAGCCTTTTCAAATCATGTGTTCTGGATGCTAATAAATTTTGAGTATTAATGACATTTAAGCAATTTGTCAATCTAATTAAAATTAGATGTTCTGAATCCCCTACTGCTGTTTGAGAAGCAGTAGCAGATTCGGAACATCTAATTTTAATTAAACTGACAATTAATTTACCACTTGACCATCAATTTACAAGTATTACTGGAAAAATTATGACTAAAATTTGACTGAACACTACAAATATTTCACACAATAAAAATTGAGAACAAAGCACTGCTTTTAATAATGTGTCTCTAAAACTACAATGATTCAATTGCAAATTCGCAAGAAAAGGTAAAAAATAAATCATTGGCAAGTTGGCAACAAATGTAAAACTCTTCAACTAAAATTATCTATTTACAATTTTTCAAGTTACCTGAAAATGTAAAATCATTTCAGCTAAGATACATGAAAATATAAAAAAAATAATGTGTGTTTGTATATAATATTAAAATGGTTGATGTATTTTCAAACCTCAGACACAAAAGTGAAAGAAAGACAGTGAGAAAGAATACAGCAGATGTGTCCTTAATAATGTTGTAGGACTCCTTTTATAAATGGATAAACATACATTAAATTTATAAATATAATACGATTAAACAACACGTGCACGTGCTTCTTCTTTTTATTTTATATATCAATTAAATTTATGCAAGTAAGTCACTTAAAATGTATATTGACTGTGTATGATTTTTATAATCAACAAGCCCATCGGACTTCTATTATGAAGTGAGTTTTCGTGAAGACTGGGTATGAATTGAATAAATATGGAAATACATGCAATATTTCATATTCCACAATAGTAATACTGTTAAATATATAAAGCAGAGGCATGCAATGTATAGCGAGATGTTTTCCTCCAATGTTAGAACAAGACAGTTACAGGAAATTGGTCTCCATCCTCTGTCGATTCTGTATCCTCAAGCTTGTCCTAATTCCTGTCCGCTGAAAACTTCCATTGGTTAATGGAGACTTGCCACGTTGTCTGAAAATTATATAGAATATAATAAAAGAGGACAGTGCATAATTTGAAAAGCTTTTTATACTTATAGAATTCTCAGTAGTTATGTGAACACTTTGCTATTAATTATTTATGTAACCCCCCCCCCCCCCCAAGTGACTTGTCAATTTGTCTCTGTCGATAAAAATACATTTTTAAGGGTAAGGACTGAGTCCATGAGAATCTGGACTTATTAAAGGAAATCAAGTCAATGCAAATGACACTGGACTGTTTGACCTGACTGGTGTACAGTGCCTCAGGTCATGTGCGTATTTAAACACCAGACTGCTATGTTCAAGATTAAAATCACATCGACCATCACCATGATTTCCTTGAATAATTATGCATTTTCACATATTTGGCTTTTTTACACAAAATTTTCTTTTTGTTCTGACAAAATTTGGTTTGGTTCTGTGCATTCTTAGATTACAAGGGAGTGTGGTTCATAAGTATACAGGACCAAATCTCCAACAACAAAAAATTACATACTGGAAATCCAGTTGAATTACGCCCTCTGGTTACAAGAGGATTAATAAATCATGATCTTATCAATAGTTGATTTATTTTTTGTTCAATTTTTACCTTGTTGTTCGTTGTTGTAAGTCATTTGGTGTAAGTGTGGCTAGAGCTTGCATGTTAGCTGTAAGAGATTCCACTTCTCTCCTCAGTCTAGTTGGAGTCTCCATCTGATGAAATCTAAAGTATTAACATGATTAACTTGTGTAATAAAGCATTAAAACATTTAAAATAATAGTTAGTTTATGATAAATCTCAGTACAAATTCGGCCTGGCTAGATATTTGTTTTTTTACCAACACCTTCTATGAAGGCTCAGACTCAGTCCAAATATTAAGCCGACCCAAATCTTCACTGAGATATGTGAAGAATGTGTACATTCATATTTCTGAATAAAAGAAAACATTTTAATACCTAAATTATTGGTATAACATTTCCCTAAGATAGTTGTATTTCTTATAAATTTCCAACTTTACAATTTAATACAACTCACTGTACTCGAGTTCGTGTTGATGTCCTGATTCCGGGGGGTGTTTTTGCTGGTGGGGTTTCAATTTGAAATGGAGAATACAATTTCACTTCTCTGTAAACAATTGTGTTCTTCATACTTTTAGGCGTTGTTGGAATTCTGGAAAAACATTTGCTCTTTTTCTGCTTTGTGATCTTTGATTGAGTAGGTGAAGCAATCTCATTATGGTCCTTAAATCTCATTCTTCGCTTTGTTGATGTTTTGATTTTCTATCAAAATAAAAGAGAACCTGATTTAGTTCATACTATAAACAATCATTAATTCAGTAAATCATTGCTAAAAGTCTTGGCACAACGTCATTGAACACTCATGAAAAATAATAGATCTTTTCTTATGTATAATTTCACGTCATGTGAAATAAGCGGGTAAATTTACATTTTTTTTTTACAATTTAACATGGAATGGATCAAATATTTAAATCAAAAACTTAGTGAAATTGTATTCGTTGTATATAAAATGTAAAAAGGATTTCATTAATTATTATTAATTATTTATTTCTACTCAAATGGATAATGTTAAAAATAAAAGGTAATGTGTGACAATCGGTCACTTTTATCATCAGTCAGAGATTCAAAAACTGACAAATTACTAGTATTAAAATATTAGATCCAATGGCTGGGCATTAGATTGATAAAAAAAAATAGGATTTCATTTATCTAACCTGCCGTAATGTTCCAACAACATCCCTCACAGATTTTGTCAAGCTTGTATTGCGCCTAAGTCTTCTGGGCTGAACTTCATCGTCATTTTCTACTGTGTGGTTTATCTTTGAATTTGGTGTATTACAATAAGAGTTTTCTTTCCCTTCAATAATATTATACCGTTTTCCGAAATTCCATGGAAGGTGCTTTTTAAACGTGTCCATTGCGCCAGTTTTAAACAAACCGCCAGCTTTCGTTTAGGTCTCCTTAAAATAGGTCAAGGCCTTATTTGATCCAGGAAGTGGGACTAAATATTATCAACCGGATAAAAACGGGGGGTTCAATAGGCTTGGAACAATTAATATCTGGACACAATCTCATCAAATATGTATTTGTATTAACAAACATACAAACGTAGGCTATATTATGTATGAATTCATTAAGCAAGATAAACATCTAACCCCCCCCCCCACGAAATACTGCAAGAGGCTCCTGGGTCATATCGCTTACCTCAGGCGCTAGCCGTGGCTATGAAAAAAGCCGAAATAAGTTTAGTATTGAAATGTTTAGATCTAAATAAGTGGTCCCAACATGTACTCATAAGGAACTACAGGATTTCTACAAATTGAATCTACACTACCTGCAGATGCTTCTTATCTATATAAATGTAATTAACTATCAGAATTTTTTTTTTATTTCCCCTTTATATTCCTATGCAAAACTTGCTCGTCCATGGTGCCTCTACCCTACCCCAGACGTGAAAACCACGCTACATATATGAGGATGCTTCCATATAAATATGACTTAAGCATGGCTTTGTTGTTCTTGAGAAGAGGATTTTTAAAGATTTTCTCTATGTTTCTATGTAGAAATTTTATCGTCTCTTGTGGATCCGCCCTACCCCCCCCCCCCCCCCACCATGGGGTCATGATTTGAACAAATCTGAATGTATACCGGCCATATAGACCTGAGGACTGGTCAATGTTTCCCCATACATGTAAGTTTCATATTTCATGTCACAGTGGTTCTTGCGAAGTTTTTTTTTTTAATGCTACCAAAATTTCCATATTTTTAAAATTATATCCCTTTGAATGAGGACAGGGGCCTTTATTTGACCAAACTTAAATCCCTCATATACCCATGCATGCAGCAATTGATGTTTTGTGGTAAGTTAAGTTAAAATTGGAAAAATGAGTCGTTGAGAAGAAGTCGAAAATATATTTAAAGTTTATAGACAGACGGACAGACAGACGGACTACTGACAAAATATATACACTGTGTGATCAAAAAAAGCTCACTTGAGCTTTTAGCTCAGGTGAGCTAAAAAAGAAAATTAACTCCCCCTTTTGTTATAAAACCTTTATTTTAGTATTATTAATATTTTAATTTCATTCAATAGTTTTGAGAGATGTTTACTTTGTTTTAATTATTGTCATGTATTTTTTTTTTTACTTTATTTCATTTTAATTGCTCCCTCCCAGTGTCTGTTTGATACAATAATTTACTTTCTTCGTGTCACACCCTGTAGACAATTGTTTAACTAAGAGTTATTTCCCTTTTATTGTACGCACTGCTGAATTTTGCTACAATGTAAATTTTATTTAAAATAGCAAAATGATTTTAAAGGATACAGAAAAAAGGTAAGACAGACAATTTACTTTTTAAATTAGCCATGTTAAGCTGCAAAGAATATGTTGAAAACCAATAATTCCATTGCTATTTTATTTGTTTGTGTGTACAGCAATCAGTGTACGCCATGTTGAATAAATGTACATTCTTTGTTGTACAGCATGTGTTACACAAACTGAGCTTAGACTGTGTAACACTTGGGGTTTATATAATTATTGAATTTTTTGAATATTTTCAAGTATGTTTCAATTAAAAATATTATGCATTTATGTTATTAAATCGATGTTTTGGTGTATTTGTTTAATGTATGGTTGCAAAAAGTACAGGGTTGCCTAAAAATGATATTCATTATTTGCAAAAGAGTCGGAGAATGTTAATTAGCCTTACATCATCCATGATGAATGTGCTCTGAAAAACAAGTTACAGGAAAGCAAGTATTTGTATTTGTGAATAAATTATTTTTGAGATTTTTAAATGTTTTAACATGTTTTATGTAAAGAGATCTTTTTTTCAATAATTTTTTTTTTTGTATTGAACTTCATTTTAGCTTTTTTTAAATGGAATAGATATTTTTTGATAATTTAATTTTATACAAATTGTTTTATTATGAGTTTTCATATCAGTAAAACTCTGTAATATATTACACATTGCATGTGTTAAATTTGTATTGTGGAACCAGAGACATAAAATTATACATGTAGGTAAATTTTTTTAATAAAAACATTTTTAAAAATGAGATATTTGTGTGAAACAGTGAGAGCAATGCATACATGCATGCACGAACTTCTTTCCAGTTGCACAATAAAAAGATTGAAAATTCTATAGTACAGGTGGTTGAATTTCAAAATGGGATGAACTCAAATATTATATATTAATTATTATCTCAGAATCACAACTACTGGTATTGGCATATTTGAACAAGGCAAAAAATTTGCTTTGCAAGTATATTTGATGAAAGAGCAAAATTAATACTACATGGGTGTGATAAAAAACTGTATACAGTGGTTAATTACAATTTTACAACAACAACAAACCCTTTCAAAAAATGAAGCCCCGTAATTTCTTTAAAAGCTATATAATCTAAAATTTCCCGTTTTATCCAATTCAGGTGAGAGTTAAGCTGAACACAATGGACAAGGTGACCAATAGCCCACACAGACATGGAGGGGATATGTGCTCCCTCACAATCTGCCAGGAGATTCTTCAGCGCCTGGAAGCGGTTTTATCAGAATGCAATAAACCACAAGCCTGTGATCTGATAGAGTACTTCCTGTACTTACATGAAAGGTAACATCTCTTCTATTTAAAATTAAATATTGTCAGTCAAATTTCAAGAAATGTATTAATTTAATAAAGATGACTATTAAATTGCATTTACTTTGAATTTAGGTATAAACTTTCCCAAAGTGAGCAGAGTTGTTTGGACATCACCAACATTAGCAAAAACTCAGGTATCAAAGTGAAAACTCTTTTCTATTTTTCTTAGATCACCTCCGTCATTTGTCCTACTGCTGCCTGTTTTTGTCTGTCATCCTGCATTGTACAGTCTTTGTCATTGTAAACTTTTGAACATAATTATCGGTACCTTATCCTCATAACCATTGAACCAGTTAAACCATTTCTGGTATACAAGATCTATGGGTGAAGTAGCTGCAGATCTGTATGCTCTCTGCTTGAGAAAATTTTGATAGATAAAGCAGAGAGCTACAGATCCATTGTAAGAACCTTCTATTTAACCCCCCCCCCCTTTAATGAGATTTGAGACATGGGCTAAAGCCATCAAAACAATTGCAGTCTTGAAAAACTTTTTTGTTTACTCTTGGACATCAAGCAGTCAAACTGCTGGCATAACTGTAATAAGCATGTGATGCTAGGGCTCTCTTCCAAAATTATAACATTAATGGCTCCAGGGTCAGGGAATTTAGGATGGGGTGAAAAAGCATGATGTCTCTGGTAATGATGCTCAGGTGATTGTTGTGGCACTTGACCCCTTTTTTCTTTTGTTTATTTTTGTGTGTTTTTATTAAATAAAATTCATCTTCTATTTTTTAAAAATGAATACATGTAAACATGGGATTTATCTGTTTTAATAACATCTTGCTGCATCAATTCATACAAGGAATTCCTTTAAAGGAATTTCAAAAAGTATACTGGTACCTTTAATTTCTTTATATTTTATAGTTTCAGAGGAAGATGTGTGCTTGGAGAGTAATGAAAGCAGCACAAGTAAAGTTTTGAAAGCTGAAGAAGAAGAAACCCTACCACCCGCTCCCTCTCAGTCTATTGACACTGATACAGAAAAGTTAAATTGTTCACATTGTCATGCCCAGTTTCAGTCTAAGTTAAAGGTGCATATTCATTGTGCTTTAAAACATAAGGGTTGTCTGAAGAAATCACAGGAGACAAGACATGACACAAAGTTTTCCACTGGAACTGCCTGTCCATTATGTGGGAAAATGTTCTCAAATTTCAAGAAATTAAAAACCCATAAGAAATTATGCATACCAAGGATACTGCAAAGGAAACCTAAACTAAAAGCACTGTATCAAAGGTTAAATAAAAAGCCATATCAACATAGATTTTTACGTCCAGGTTCCATCCAAATGCCTCTCTTCCCTTACACCTGTACTTGTGGACAATTCTTCAAATGGAGAAGCATTTATTTTCATCATAAAAGAAAATGTAAATTAGGAACAAAAATGAAGGCTTCTAGGTTGCTTGAAAAAGTGAAATACTCTTGTTTCCCTCAGCTGGAAGTGTCTGGTGCATTAACAAAAGTGACTTTGGATAACACAGAGAAAACATCAGGTGAAAATCTCTGTAATGAAGACACTTTGTTACCAAAAAGTGACATGCTAAGAGGAAATGAAAGCAAAGACCAGAATGATGTCAGAGAACACAACTCTTTAAGAGATCCAAATGCAGGTTCCATAAAGATGGACTGTGTGCCATTGAATACCATTGACAAAAGTCATCCCTATCCTAATTGTAAACAAGAATTGTTTGATGACCAAGAACTGGAAAATGAGGGAACATGTTTTGATGGTTCCCAAAGAAACACGCCAACAAAAACAGATAGATCAAGGAGCTTCAGTGAATGTGATGGAAGGCTAGTATCAGTGAAGAGTGAACCAACAGACAGTTACTTTCAGGTTGAAGGAATGAACTTATCTAAACAATGTTTACAGGAGAGTGGTAGCAGCCTGAAAGAGGAAGTCCCTTCAATGGTGGACAACAGAGAACCACGGCAGTTGAGTGAGAGGTCTGATGCCCAGATGGTAGAGGAGGTCTCTGATTGTGAAACCTTCTACATGAGAGATGAGGTAGCTATTGTTGATTTGTCAAATATGAATGTTACAGTAAGTTCTTCTGAGGCGCAGAAAGAAAAGTTTGCCAATGCATCAAGTAAATTTGATCGAGGGGACCAAGTTCAACGGAATAGGCAAAATGACATCTTTGACTGTGCGTCATCTAATCAAGCAAAAAAGCGGCACCAATATGTATTGAATCTCAGCAGTAAGCCAGATCCTGGAGAAGAGAGATTAGAAATGCAGAGACATTATGGAAATACAAGTGGGGGAAAACAAATCAATCAGACATGTTTGCAGTGTCCTAATTGCCTTGCAATTTACAAGACCTCACAAGAACTTATTTTCCATATCCAAAATTCACAGTGCAGGATTGTATTTGATTCAGCAAACACCAAGGCTATTCATCATAGACTTTGTCGAATATGTAACATGTCACTGAGCAGCTATCCTGCCTTTGTACTACATTTGCAAGAGAGACATGGACTTCAGGGTATTTACAATTGCAAGCAGAATTCCCAAATGAAGCCTTGCAAAATTTGTGGACAAAAGTTTCTCTCTGAAGCATATCTAAGAGAACATGTGCAAGGGAAGCATAGCAGTGTCAGAAGGTATGCATGTACCTGTGGAAAATCCTTCAAATGGAGAAGTTCCTTCAGTGGACATAGACGGAACTGTAATGGAACAATATCATGCATAAATAAACCTTATCCAACGGCAATGTGTAGGTACACCAGGAAGAGACAAGGTTTGTTGAATGCCAATTGTGTACCACCACCCTCAATGCCCAGAATTGACAAGGAATCACCAATGCAACCCCCAAAAATTGAGAATGGTGTAGGAATGGGAAAAATTCCAGGTGTTCATACTTTTTTAAATGACCTAAAAGAAAAGTTTTCTAAGCCAATGACTGCTAATTCTGTCACAAATATTAAAGCCAAGGGTGCCCCCACTTTGTCTCCAAAGGCACATTCAGAGGTTGTTCCACTTAAACCAGGGGGCAAGGCCCCAACAAACTCTTTAAAGACTGACCTTAACTCTCCTGCCACTCAAAAAATAATCGAAAGTTTGAAGCAGCGAGCAAATTTTAAATGGCCGAGCAACAAAAGCATATCAAAAAGCACTTCAAAATCTGACCCTCAGAGCACACAACATCCATCAAGGGATCTACACAAATCTGTCCCCATGTCCACTGTTTCAACAAAGACAGAATCTGGGTCTCAGAAGCAAGGTCTTCTGACTAAAAATGCAGCACAGACAGAGAGCAGCATTTTCTTACAAAATTCTGGCAGTCCATATGGAATGGTATTTCCTGCAGGAGACTCAGCAGCTAACCTGACTCAATATCTGCAATATCAAAATTCTTTTGGGTTCAATGCTTTAAATATGCAACAGTTGTATCATCAAATGTCAGCCTCGTTGTCCAAGATATTATCATCACAAAATATGAAGCCAAATCCTAATGAGGATAGTTTGAACAGAAATGCTAACAAAACATCTGAAAACTTTCCAGTGCAATTTGTCAACAAGTCACAAAATAAACCAATGGACACAGCTAACCAAAACTACACAGGCAGCCATGCAGAGAAAAAATCAGACCAGTCCTCTCCTTCATTTGTCAGAAACTCATTTACCTGTCCCACATGTAAAATGACATTCTTGGAAAAGGTAGCAATGGAGATGCACAGTCTTAAATGTAAAAATCGGTCCATGTCCATTTACACTTGCTCTATATGTGGAATGAAGTTAAGGGGAAAGGCATCACTTCGTGAGCATACACTTGGAAAACACAGTGCCACAAGATACTCTTGTTCATGTGGAATGAAGTTCAAGTGGAGAAGCTCTCTTGGGTCTCATCAGAAACATTGTGGAGAGTACATGAAGAAATTTTACTAGTGATCACATGATATATAAAAGAGTTTATTTACTGTTAGTGCCATATCATCATAGTCTTTGGTAGCTGTATGTTGTATTGTTTCTGTGTCAATGTTAATAAACAAAGAAATGTTGATTTTATTTTTGATTTACTCAAACATTTATCAGTGATTTAGGAGCAATATCTGCGATTTTCATATTTTCAATTAAAAGAAGATTATTGCCTGCAATATAATCACTGTCATTTAATACATGTATGTACAATTTTTCAAAGTTGCTTTATGTGCTACATTGTAATTTAAAATGAATATTAATTAATCCTTCATGAAAAATTGAAAGAAATATTATACATTTATTGCATGATAGTGAGGGAAATATGAAAACTTATTCAGCCAAGAAAAATCATATTCCCCGAGGGCTTCGTCTGAATGGCTGAATAAGTCTTCATGTTTCCCGAACATTCATGCAATAAATTGTTTATTATACCGAAACAAGCAGAACCTTTGAAATAAACATAAACTTTCAAATCGGCACCGCTCTTAAAGTCACTTTCATTTTTTACGTAAAGTTACTATAAAACCCTTTGTTATACCCTTATAAATATCATTCTGTATATTTATTACTTATAAAAAGTCCAACAAAAGAACTGTTTATTACATCGGTCTAACAATTTCACTATTGACCGGTCTTACATAAGAATTGTTAGACCGCAACGTCACTCGTCTGTTACGTCACAAGTAATTAATCATCGTTCAATATCGGCGACGCGAAAATAGCCGAAGTTAAGAGCTACAAGAGTTGTTGCTAACAGCAAGGTAAGGAAGAAGGGAAGAGTATGTTTTGTGATAAATAATTTTTGTGATAGAATAGATATATAATTGATTTTGTTCTTTCTCAGCTTGATGTTTTATATTTACTGAAGAAGCCATAATTTTCCATATAAAATAATTGATAATATAGTGTGTATTGATTAAATTGATCAATCTTAAGTGAGCAGTGAAGGGTATAACAAAACAGTTTCTGGGATTTATGATTTGTTGGACCTGAAGGTAAAATGTTGCCCTTGGCCTGCGGCCTGGGGAAAAATTTCACCTTCTGGACCAACAAATCATATGTTGCCCTCATACCCAGTCAATAACTGTATATTGTTCAACACATTGTCATCAGTTTTGTGACGTAAACCAGGCTATTGTGACGTCTACTTCTCTCGGGAGTTTTCGTTCAACGAACGAGAACTATATTGCGGGAAAATACACTAGGTGTTCCGAAGAGGTGGAATATGATGACGGCCGGGAAATATGAAGTTTTACGGCCCGATCACGTGATAACTTAGAACCAATCAGATAATGCGTTGTTTAGAATATTTATAATGAGGTATAATAATAAATTTTAACATAGCCCATGAGTTCTAAAAAGTAAGTGCTAAAGCTTTCATTTTTTCGAGCGTATTTCTACGGCGCGTCGATTTACCCAAATGGAAACAAATGGACCCAAATGGAAACACAAATGGACAAATGGAATATTAAATATGTATTATCGTATTTTATTACTTATTGAAAATGATGAAAAGAATTGAACTTAGTTACAAATGGAGTTTTATATTTATTATTAATCTCTAATATTGTATTTTGAGACATGAAGTTTTGATAGTATTCCATATACTGGCAAAATTATTTGGGGTTGGGGTATGGGGGGTTGGCATGGCCTCCCCCCCCCCCTTTCCGTTCCTACGGCCACAGAAACTATCAAATAGTTTAGAATGAAATCGCATTTTTAAAAATACAATTGAAGGAAATAATGATATTAAAATATTCTCTTTTTTGTTAACATGGCTAATTTCATTATTTTCTATATTTTAAATAAGTAAAAACTTGAGAATACGATATAATATATATATTTTATATTCCATTTTGGTCCATTTGATTTCCATTTGGGTCCATTTGAGTTTCCATTTGGGTCCATTTGTTTCCATTTGTGGTTCATTTGAGTAAATCGACGCACCCTATTTCTAAGACTAGACGGGGGATGGGGAGTGTTAAACTATTTTTGTCCTTGTCACCTTGTTTTTTACTTTCATTGAAAAACTTTCATCTTAATCGCTAACTGGGCACCATAATGATATTGGGCATCGGTATTTCACAAACACGTCATGTTATTTAATATTTATATCGATTAATGATTTCATTTTCTGCTACTCATTTTTTTCTTCTTTTTCTTGGTTCTGTCTCTGTCAGTTGGCCATCTTGTGTTTTCTTCTATACCAAAAGAAGTTCTATAGATAAACAGAAGAAATTGTCTTAATTTCGGATTGTGTATGTGCAACCGTGAACGGTAGCTGCAGAACTGTAGCTCTCTGAAAAAAATATTTTGGTCTATCAAAATATTTTTTCGAAGAGCTACAGTTCTGCAGCTAGCGTACTAGTACAGTTTGTATATCACTGCAGCTAGCGTACTAGTACAGTTGTTTTGTATATCACAGTCAAATGATTAAACATGTTCTTGCAACTTACAAGTTCCTCTCCATAAATATAACAATGTGTCATGCAAAAAATACATTAAAATATAATAATTATAATATTTTCAAGTGATGCAATTAAATTACAAATTTTTAAAATCTACATGTTTCAGTAATAAATCTATGGACAGCAGCAAAAATATTAATATTAATTGATACAGGCAAATCTCTGTCACCCCATAATAGTAAATTAGTGTCAATTGTAACCAATTCTTCAATGACAATGACAATGACAATGACAATGACAATGAATTTATTCTCATGAACTGACATAAGTACAGTGTTGAGAAAGATTACAAATATAGTTAAACATATGTGCATGCGTGAAAAAGAAAAAAGTACAAAGTAACAAAACTAACAATGAGCTAACCAGGAGAGCCAACTCTCTCAAAAATAATTTTTATAAATTTACACAGTTTTGTCAATTTAACTGTATTTTTTGTATTAAAAAGTTGATCAAACTTATACACATTTGGATGTGAATAGTAATATTTTGATAATAATAATAACCTTGAATTCAAAATAAGTGAATCATTACAATTAAATAAGTAATGAAATTCATCACCAATTTCATTTTTGGAACACTTCTATTGGTAATTTATTATTACAAGTTCTAAACTTACAAAATATTTTCCAGTACTTAAAAGGCAGAGATACTAAATACTTTTCTAGACAAAAAGAAGTTTTGTATATTCTATAATTAAGACCTTTAGACGAGTTAAACATTTCACTATACCAGTTCTGTTTAAACTGATCATACAGAGTGTTAAACACTATTTTCTTCAGCCATGATACATTTACAGGTTGACAAGTATGCCAAATATAAGAAAGTCCACATTCATTCAATATAGATTTGACAAAGTTACCATGGATTATTGTAGTTCTTTAAAACACTTAACAAATTCGATGATAATTTATCCCTTTGTAAAAAAGATAGTTTACACCAAAAACTTATCATTCTAACCTTTATATTAATTGAAATAGGGTATCTACCTAATTCACCATATACCATAAAATTTGGTGTTGATGACTTTACATGCAAAATATGCTTACAAAATTTTAAGTGCAATTTTTCAATCAATGGTGAATGATTAAAACCCCACTTCGCATCCATATAAAATTATAGGATTTACAATTTTGTCAAACATATCCAATGTGCATTCTATATTAAGGTTGTGTTTTCTACATTTTCCAATAACACTATACATAGCTTTTGTTGCTTTCTGAGATAATTCTTTGACATTTGTGTTAAATGAACCATTTTTACAAAAACTTACTCCTAAATATTTAAAATTATCTACGATTTCTAATGTTATTCCATTTAATGTAATTGGTTTTTCAATTCTTGGATTGCCCTTTCCAAAGATTACAATTTTAGTTTTATTGGTGTTAACTTTGAGATGCCATTGTTTGCAATATTTGTTAAATACATCCAATTGGTATTGTAAGTCTTCTGTGTTTCCTACAAAAGGATCGTGTCATCTGCGTATAGCAAAACAAACAATCGAAGATACAAATTAAACTCCGATTTAATTTAGACGTTATAAATGATAAACCTTTTACATTATTTAAATTCATGAAATCTTCAAGGTCATTTAGATAGATGGCAAACAAAAATGGGGATAGGTTTTCCCCTTGTCTAACACCTACAGTACAAGGAAAGGGATCAGAGTACAGACCATTTGAGACTACTCTTGATTTAATATTTTTATACAGCTGTGTTATAAAATTAAAACATTTACCATCTATGTTATTTAATAAAACTTTATTCTAAAACAGACATTTCTGAAACTTGTTTGATAAAGTTAATATTTGCAATGCAGTAGTCTACTATACTACAGTTTTTGCAAGTAAATTCACCGTTTATATCAGTGTTACAACGTCCATTTAGAATGTAAATATTACAGTTTTTACATAAAGTTAACAGTTTTTTACCAAATTGGTTCAATGTTTTGTCTTTTGACTTTTATCAACAGATAAACCATAATTTTCAAGTCTTGTTACATCACATGTATCACTAAGAAAAATATTTTCATCTATAATTATGTCATTTGAAAATAAATGATCATTGTTATGAGAATTAATGTTTTCAATATAATCCTTCTCCATAGCAACCCTACTATTAAAATCACCCATAAGACAAATGCTATCTAAACTATCAATTAGATTATTAGTTTCTTTTTCTATATCATCAAAAATATCTGTGGATGAAAAACGAGAATTTATAGGTGGGATATAAACAGTACCAATAATTACATCATTTTGAAAATTAAATGCTTTCCCCGATAGTTTTATCCATAGAACATGTTCACATTCATTCTCTATAACGGTAACATATTTAGAATATATCTCTAACATATACAATCCCACCTGATTTTTTCGGACAATGAAAATCTATGTTTACAAAAGGCATTAAAGTTTTTAATTTCAATATCATCAGCATTGTCGGTTTTTGTTTCCGTTAAACATACAATATCGTTGTTGTTTATAAATTCAATAAATTCGGGGTTTTGTAATTTCGAATTAAGTCCACAAACATTTAAACTAATAATTTTCAAATCGTTGAGAGAGTTTGCATTGTTTACGTTTTGTACATGTTGTAGTTCCTGTTTACACAGTTC